ATCATGTCGATATAAAAATTATGTCATCGTAGCATTAAATTTGTTACATACTGTATGTATCTTATATTGTCCTTGGGAATATAAAAAAAGTAAAAGGACTGAATGGCCTAATTACATAAGACGTGAAGGGCCCCATATTCCTACATATTTCAGCCCACATTCAGGGAAGTGAAGGGTTGACTGAAGCAGAAATGTAGGTGTGTCGTATCCTTAAACCATTTTCACTAGCACTTGCTTCCGGACTTTTACTATGCACAGTTCATCCTTGACCATATCTCGCTGAAAATAAAATTGGTCTTAAATGTGACAGGAAATAACTGATTTATCTCCAATCTAATATCGAAGTTGATAAACGTGCGTGATTAATCAACCATACCAAAACATCGGTTTCTGTATATTGTGCGAGCCAAGATTTCCTAATTTTGTGGTATACAGATCTGTATTTATTTCTTGTCAAGATTTGAAACTTGATTAGAAGCGTAATTTTAGTCAAGCTTAATTTCTTTTGGTTCGCGTAACCATTTTTTATCAGAATTCAAATGGATCCACTACGACGAAATTTATTGGAGTGCTCCAAGTGCACAAAAACGTTCAAAACTAACCACCAATTCAAGAAGCACATCAGCACGCACGACCCCGATGCTAAAGTTAAATGTGAAGTGAGTTCTGCGTAGAATTTGCTATAAATATCAAATATCATACACTTCCTTTAAAACAAATTTGCTTTTCTTATCGAAACGAAAACATTTCATCGACCAGTTTCATCTGCTCTAATTGAGTAAAGTTTTACCCCTCAAAAAATGGTCACTTAAAGCAATCAAATTATAATATTTTCTAGGTTTTCGGAAAAATCTCAAAAAATCCCGCTACCCTTTCTTCCCATATGAGTCAAATTCACGGCCCCTCAATTTGCAACATTTGCAAAAAATCTTTGTCGTCATCTCGAGCTCTGAAGGGACATGTTAATCGCGTCCACAGCACCGTAGATCGGCCTCGGATTACTTGCACATTTCCCGGTTGTGAAAAAACCTACCTGAACAAACACGACGTAACGAAACACCAGAGATTTGAGCATTCGGTGAATCCGGTCCGATTTCGGTGCACACTTTGCGGAAAAGAATTTAAAACTAGGACGGAACTTCATAGTCATATTCCCACCCACACGACGGAGAAGCCCTTTAAGTGCTCCAAATGTGCGAGGATTTTTGCCCGTATGCTAAACATGAAACGTCACGAGGTACTTACAGTATGTAACAAAAGTATAGCTACGATGACATATTTTTTATCTCGACATGATGCCGTAATATTTCAACTTTGAAACTCCGTAAAAAATGTCAAAACTATCTACCGACAATTTCCTCGTCGCCGATTATTAATGTCGCAGATAGGTCAAAGGTCAGGATTATGTTTCTAAAAAAATTTGAGGCGTCGAAAAAAAAACTTCGTGGATAATTTTTTTTGAAACTTGCAATATTTTTTACTGGATACGGCATGCGTTTTGAAGAATAATGAGCTTTGTTTGGACCGTGTGCGATTTTTTTGACGCCCACAGGAATTTTTCGCCAAAAAGAGGTTGAAGGTCTAAAATCGCCGCCTTGGCGAAAATTCAAAAACTGAAATATACGTTTGCATATAGAGGGTCCGGATATGCAAACGTATATTTCAGTTTTTGAATTTTCGCCAAGGCGGCGATTTTAGACCTTCAACCTCTTTTTGGCGAAAAATTCCTGTGGGCGTCAAAAAAATCGTACACGGTCCAAACAAAGCTCATTATTCTTCAAAACGCATGCCGTATCCAGTAAAAAAATATTGCAAGTTTCAAAAAAAATTATCCACGAAGTTTTTTTTTCGACGCCTCAAATTTTTTCAGAAAAATAATCCTGACCTTTGACCTATCTGCGAAATTAAAAATCGGCGACGAGGAAATTGTCGGCAGATAGTTTTGACATTTTCGTACGGAGTTTCAAAGTTGAAATATTACGGCATCCTGTCGAGATAAAAAATATGTCATCGTAGCTATACTTTTGTTACATACTGTAAATACACAGGGTTGGATATTTACATACATACATATGTACATAGGTATACGGAGTTACTACGAGAAAACGTGGCCAGATTTGAATTTTTGAATGAAGAAATATCGATAATTATGGATATTCAATGAAGGGTTAAAAATTTTCTTTCCTGGAAAGTCAAAATTTCGAAGTTTAGAATTAAAAAAAATACTAAATTGTTATTTTTTAATTCACAAAAAATAAAAAGTAACATAAAAAATTAACCCAAACAGTGCCCGGCTTTACACTAACCACTGTAAAAATAAATCCCTCTGCACAATTTAAATATGAAACTCACAATCAGTGGGTAAATAAGTATATTGCGGAACAAAATAAATTGTTAATACAAAAATATATTTTTATTGTACAGGCGACGCATTTGGACAAATCTGTCCGACACAAATTTCAATGTGCCGTCTGCCTTCAGACCTTCGTAACAGGGAATGGTCTACAAGGCCATATTCGAAATATGCATGAAAATCAGAAGAATTATGCGTGCTCATTTTGTGCCAAGAGATTTGCGGGATCATCCGATTTGAAACGTCACTTGGAGGCGCGACACCCCGCGGACAAGGAAAAGATTCATTCCTGCGATAAGTGCGAGTACAGGAGCCACTCAAAAGTAAATTTAGCTGGACACGTGAGACGTCACAATTCTGCGAATTGGCGCGAGTGTTACTTTTGTAGGAAACAGTTTACCAACTTCCCAGATTTGGTGAAACACTTTGGTCGGATTCATACTTTAGAGAAGTAAAAGTGTAGTACATACCTCTTACTCAGGCGTGTCACCTCATTTGCATAAATCTCAAAATGTCCATTTTCGGCGATACGTTTATCACGACTGTGTCAAAATACGCAAATGAGGTGACGTGCACGAATAATTTGACTATACAATACATGGATGAATAAATTTTTCTTGGGAAATCTGTTCCGTTGGTTTTCAAATTATATAAGTAAATATGTTCTTGGTTTCCGGAGTAATTGTGTAACTTTGCTTTGACGATCGATAGTTTGCTGAAATTTGGTCACTGAGCGTTTCATTGAGCAATTTAAGAATATGTTTTTTTTAATTTGTTACGGTAATCCAAACATTGTAATAAAAGTCATGAATATTGTCAAAAATATGCTTTAAGTTATTATTTATTATCAATAAGGAATTATCGGTCCAGTCGGGGCCGTATCCAAAGGTCGGTGGGGCACTATACTCCAAAATTGGTGTAGAAAGCTGAAATTTGGTATGAGGGTGGTTAATAGCTATAGATTTAAGTGAGAATAAAATATGACCCAAATTTGATCAGACCATATTGATTCTGGGGTGGCTGGGTTTCTTTCAACCAAAATTATCCTGTGTTGCACCAATAGGAATAAAGAGACCCTTCATTGCGAGGACTAAATTAGAATATATTTATGTTAGCAGCATACCACATACATCAATAATACATATTTACTATAAGGGGGACTGCATGGGAAAATACCCATGTATTTGTGCATGCATATCAGGGTTAGAGATGGGTCCCAAAATTTTCAGAAAATCCCTCACATGCATTACGTATGGCGTGGATAGTTATTTTTATTCAAAGCAGGACCCCTCAGTGGATTTGCGGATCTTTCCCACCCATGGACTCCTACACCTGATCTACTACCCATTATCCCCTACCCGTGATGATTCCCTACCCATGAACCCCTATCCATTATCTCCTACCCGTAATTAACTCCTACCCTGATTAACTCCTACCCCCACCCGCAATTATTTTGGTCGTTGTTTCTTGTATCTATATGTTTATACACATTATCTTAAAATCATTATCGTTATAAAATTACATAGATGAATGAAAATTCGCACTTAATACTAAGAAGAGAATATTATATGAAAAATTAGGCGCATCAGTCACAATTAATAAGACCTTTATTTTGTCGGATAAAAATATCAAATATGTATATGATAATAGGTGTTTACAAAGTGATCACTTATAAGTGTACCAACCACTTATAAGACATTTCTTCTTTTAAGTGACACTGCTCACGTAGGCGCAGTTGCTATGTATTTCACTTATAAGTGGTCGGAAAATAAGTCTCCTGGACTTATCTACTTATTTCTGAAAGAAGACATTTGTTGAAATTGAATTCACTTAAGGTTATTGCCAGCCACTTTGTGCCCAATGAATTATTTTTAAATGGGTTTTAACCTATATTCAAGTTACTTAAGGTAGTGCATAGTTAAAATTTGGTTAATTAAAATAGTGCAGTGAAATAATTAAATGGGAAATTCAAGTGAGAATGAAGATATACTTTGCAATCAATTTACGTCACAAATGTCATGTGATTTATAAATTAGGCAAGAATTAAAAAATATTATCTATTGTTGAAGTTTTAGATCTTTTCAAAGCTACCATATTCATTTTTCCAATAATTTGGACGTTTAATGCAAGTCGGTCACTTAAACCGCGTGCAACACATCATTTAAAAAAGTGGAGCATTCAAACAGCCCCCCTTATAATTTGTCTAAATGACTTATAATTTGCGGGAAAATAAAAATAAGTCGATTATAAACCCTTAATGTGTATAACATAAAAGAACAACGACCAAAATGATTGCGGGTGGGGGTAGGAGTTAATCAGAGTAGGAGTTAATTACGGGTAGGAGATAATGGATAGGGGTTCATGGGTAGGGAATCATCACGGGTAGGGGATAATGGGTAGCAGATCAGGGGTAGGAGCATGGATGACTGATTGTATAGATGGCTACTTACATAAGCAAGTTTCTCGTGGGTCGTACGACCGGCAACTTGAAAAGCATGAGGATTGTTTCCCCATAGAGTTTTGTTTCCCCTTCCAGTTAGATATGTATTTCATGGGGTAGGAGTCCATGGGTGGGAGTCTTCCGCACACCCCTCAGTGCATGGTAAAAATATCCGACCTTTTTATCAAACGTAACTACGCATGCATGCAGTGCTTATGCGAATAATACTACCCAGTTCACCATTCACGCTCAGTCCATAAACTTCTGTAATATATATATAACTTAAATATATGTGCGAGACACACTGTTACCAATTAATAGCTAATGAAAATTCTAAATATTTGTGGAAATACATTGTTAATTTTCGCCACCGAATTGAAGATTTCGTACATAAATAAGCACAGTTAAACTTTTCCTGACCTTCCGCAATTAAAAACACCAAACGTCAAACCCATAATTATTTAGTTAGAGATCCAACCATAATAATTCGGAGCTGGATCTCACACCAATGAAGTCACTTAAATGCCCAAAGTGCTGCAAAACGTTCAATTTCAAGTCGGACCTTATCAAGCATCTCGTTACGCATGACCTCAATGCTAAAGTAAAATGCAAGGTATGTGATTTCAGAAACATCAGAAATTAAACATATTTTCGACCATTCGCCTTCTCATTTACCAATTTTTGTCTGTTCATTTAGATATGCGGGATAATTTTGAAACATCCAGTCGCCCTTTCTACTCACATGCAAAGACTTCACACCAACCGGAAATGGCCCAGTTGCGAGATTTGCAACCGAGCTTTCCATGACTCTGCCACTTTACGAAAACATACTGAAGTCGTCCACAGCACGAGTGAACGGCCCCGTTTGCCATGTGGATTTCCCAACTGTGAGAAAACCTTTTTAGATAAACGCTGTGTTTCGAGGCACATAAAAACTGACCATGTCGAGAATCCGGTCCGATTTTCGTGCATACTTTGCGGCAAAGAATTTAAAAACAGGGGTGATCTTGGGCACCATATTCTCACCCACACGACCGAAAAGCCGTTTAAGTGTGCCAATTGTGGGAGGAGTTTCTCCGAAAAGCAAAACTTGAAGCGTCACGAGGTACTTACATTTAAATATTTTGTAGGAAATTTAAGTGCGAAAATTAAATTTATTTTTAGAAAGTTCACTTGGAAAGGTCCACCCGAGTAATGTCAAAGTGTCACATCTGTACTCATTGTCAGACCTTCTTAACTAGAAATGGTCTACAAGGCCACATCCGCATTGTGCATGAAAATCGGAAGGATTACCCATGCACATTTTGTGACAAGAGATTCTCCTGTTCAACAAACTTGAAGGGTCACGTGAACAGGGCACACCCCTCGAACACGGAAAAGGTTCATTCCTGCGACAAATGCGAGTACAAAAGTCACTCGAAAGTCAATTTAGACTACCACGTAACCAGAGCTGGGAAATTAATGAGTTTCGAGATTAAAAATTAAGATTTGAGATTAAAAATCCCCGAATCAGAGATTAAGATTAAGATTAAAATTATTCTTCCGCTACTAAATTAAATTATTAAGATTAAATTAATCTACTTTTATGACACAGATTAAAGATTAAAGATTAATTAATCTAGATTAATAATAATAATTAAGAATTATTTTATTTTATCGCCGTTTTTTATAGTTTACATCGATATTATATCATAAATTCTAAAATTTGAGAAAAGTATGAAGCATCGGTGCTTCAAAATTGTTATTCAAAATTATTAAACTTTTATCAGCTAAATTTAAGGCGAATACAATAACTTGTAATACGAGTAAAAATTAGTCTCACCTCAAATGCAACGCGTTTTTAAATTTCAAAAAATAATAACTCTTAATTTTTTTAATTAAATTAATTTTTTTAATGACAGCAAATTTCTTAATCTTTTTAAAGAATATAGTTTTAAATAACGTTCCTTTCAAAGAAGGGAACCTGTCAGAAATTTAGAATTGTTTTGATTTTTTAAAATGGTTCCAGTGTTGAAAGACGATCGTGCGTTGAAATTTAGAGATTTACAAGGAGTCGACAGTCGAGTAACAGATAGCGTGATGGTAATCATAATATTAATCGTGATTAAAATTAAAGTCGAAGATTCAAAGATTAAAAATTAAAAATTAAATTAATTAAATTGACTTGTGAGATTAAGATTAAAATTATTGATTAATACGATCAAATTTCTTGATTAAAATTATGGATTAAGATTAATTATTCTTAATCTTAATCTTAATCTTGATTATTTTAATCTAGATTTTCCCAGCTCTGCACGTAACACGCCACAATGCCCGGACACATGGATGTTATTTTTGTGCTAAGAAATTTTTCACTTTTCAGGAATTAGTAAAACACACGAGTTGCTTTCATACCTTGGAAAATTAGAAAAGATTGGCTTTAATAATTATGAATAATGTATTATATTTTTTAATAATTTTAAGATAGTCGTTGTCATTTAAGTGAATTACTTTGTATATTTCGAGAATAAAGTCGACTGCCACTTTCTGACGCGCATCTCATGGTGTCAAATATAAATATGTGCATAGTCCTTCTACATATGTACTGGCTTTAAGTTTTACGCACTTACGCAGCTTTCTTACAATGAGATGCGCATTTTTATCCAGAAATAATTTTACAATAATTTTTCTTCGAATTACGAGCTTATTAAATGGGTATGGGTGACGAATTCAACCTTTTTTGTACCACATGAACAACCACTCACGTCACTTCTTCTTAACACGACAACCGCAAGAGAACAATTAATCAAAAACAGAATTAATTAAGTGATTATTTAATCCAAAATTCGTGAAAATAAGTAAACATTTATTTTTTACATGGTTTGAATCCTAAATTGTTTTTCGGCCAGCATAAAATCTATAAAGAATTAATTTTAATTGATTATTTACATTATGTCTTATCACGAATAATCCAGTACGACCTTTCACCCATTCAAGGCATTCAAGACATAAATTCGTTTTCAAGCACTGAATGCTCCAAATTTCTGTCTGAAAATTAGCAACCTTGGGTCTGAATTTGTGTTGGAATTCTTATTTCCAATCACGTAAAGTGCGGACTTATTACGCATACAAATCTTGTTCCTGCATTTCATTGCCAATATATTTTTCGTCATGCATTTGGATTTGTTTAAAGGCATCAAGTATAATTTTAGCAAGAGTTATTACTGCTCGCTTTTAGAATAGAATTACCCTTTCTCCTCAAAGTAGGTGGAAAAAAAGGCTTTGCTAAAATTGTGTGCACCGAGGTAGAAAAATATCTGTCATGGGAGATACATATGCATAGTTGGAAATACCGGATTTACTAGATTAATGGCCGTTCAAATTTACGGATTCAAAAATCTTTGGAGTAACGTGTATAATGCGTACTTTTCATTCCGGGAAGTAAATATACTACGTTATTTACATATATACGATATGAAAATATGCAGAGAAAAAAAAACTGAATGGGCTAATTACGTAATCCATGAATGAGCCCATACTCTTATTTCAGTCCACATTCAGGGAAGTGAAGGGTTAACTGATGTAGAAATGCAGATGTGTCATTCATTATACAGCAAGTACTTATTTAAGTGCCTATTTATGCCCATAAGTCGCTACCCTTGTGGGCAGACCTGCACTTGCCTCCGGACTTTTACCACGCACAGTTCACCCCCAAACTTCTCGCAATAAAAATACCCTCTGTCTTACTGCGTGAGGGAAAAGCTGATTGATCTATTTTCAATTCAAGCTCAAAAATGTGAGTATAGTAATCAACTAAATAAAATCAGTACAATCTCTCCATATTGTGTGATGCTAGATTTTCTAATTTTGTGATACGTATATGTATTTCTTCCCAATATGTGAAATTATTTGAGTAGAATAGTTTTAGGCTAGAGTCTAGACTCTAGACATATTTTAACATTTCCTCCTCGTAACATTCCAATTGTCTAGAAAACTATTATTACCAACGCAAATTGGTGTACACCAATAATTTTCCGATTTTCACCATTTACATAAGTAGCTAAATTCTCAAGAAATTTCACTACCACAAGATATGACATATGGCATTCCCATGCTGTTATCCTCTGGCGATACGTATATTTATAGTTCACATTTAAATACTTTGACAAACTCTGGAAAACATTTAACGGCTGAATTTTTTTATAGCAAACTTATCTAAAAGCTCAATGGATGGGAGGCCAGGGAAGGAATGGAAATGCTCAAAATGCTCAAAAACATTCAATTTCTAGTCTCGATTTACCAGGCATCTCATCACTCACGACCCCGACGCCAAAGCGAAATGCAAGGTGTGTATTTGTGAAATTGAAATTATTTTCGGCCATCCGCGATCCCACGTCACCAGTTTCTCGTTGTTTAGATATGCGGGATCGCTTCGAAAAATCCAGCCGCCTTACAATCTCACATGTGGAGTTTTCACACCAACCAGGAACGGCCCACCTGTGGCATTTGTTACCGGGTGTGTCATAACTCTAGAACTTTAGCGAAACATATCGAAAACATTCACAGCACGAGTGAACGGCCCCGTTTGCCATGTGGATTTCCCGGTTCTGAGAAAACCTTTTTAAACAAGGGACACATTTCGCGACACGTGAATAGTGTCCACGCCCAGAACCCGGCCCGTTTTCCGTGCACAATTTGCGGGAAAAACTTCAAAGAGAACACAAATCTTGAGGGTCACATTTCCACCCACACGACCGAGAAGCCCTTTAAGTGTGCCACATGTGGGAGGCGTTTCGCCCGCAGGAGTGACATGAATAGTCACCAGGTAAATAAATGCATATGGGGAACAATGAGTGCAAAACTAGCAATACATATGTGCATGTGTATTTTTGCAAATGACCCATTTAGGAAAATCTATGCGAAAGGTTTTCAATTGTAAAGCGTGTGCCAAGACTTTTTTAAACAGAACAGACCTCCAGCAGCATATCCAAGTTATTCATGAAAATCGAAGGGATTTTTCTTGTAAATTTTGTAGCAAGACCTTTACCAGATCTCGGGCTGTGAGACGCCACGTGGAGGCGATACATCCCCCGACAAAGGATTTGATTCATTCCTGCGACAAATGCGAGTACAAAAGTCACTCGAGACGCAGTTTAGCCAACCATGCGAAACGCCACAAAAACAAGAATCGACCTGAATGCTACTTCTGTGGGAAGCAATTTATCTACTTTGGTAAATTAGCTAAACACTGCTCCAAAGCTCATACGTTGGAAAATGTAAAGTGCAAAAGTAGTAGTCTCGTCGTGTAGGTCAAAATATTTCTTTCGGTAGCATTCAGGTCGACCTTAGAATTTTTTATTCACTACGTAAAATTTACTAGAAGTGTTTAGAAGATCTAACTTTTTGAGCTTATCCAGTCTCGGGTATCGTTGTTAAGCTTCGAGCCTATTACTTGGTTCCATTGGTTGCAATCTTTGGGGGATCTGACAAATTTTAGACAGCTCTTCACACATCGTGTAATTATTTTCAATCTTTTAACGTGCTGTTGAATTGGAATAAAATAAATTTTGACGTATCTACTTATGCAATTATTTAATACCGATTTTTGAAGTGAACTTTGAATTGAGAATTGAATTTAGAATTGAAGCTTTATTATATTGGCTATTTCGTACAAGAAATACAAAAACTTATGCTTAACACTTAACTAGAGATTATACATTTTAACAGATTAAAAAATATAGTTTATGTGGTTAGGGGCCGTTTAAAATTTATCGTTTCATAAGTCTTACGAATAAAGCTTCCGGATGTGTACATAATGGACGCAATTTGCAGTGTTTTAAATCAGAACAATTTAAATGTCGCATAAAAGTAATCTTAAATACAAAGGTAATTTGAGTGATGACTACATAGTGATCATTTGTTTGTTTATACTTGCAATGCGTATTTCAGACGTGTTTCTCAAGGATCCTCTCAAAACCAGCACTAATGCATAAATTCTTTTAAAAAAGCTTAGATGAGGCTTGCTTAAGGCTTACCCTCAAGCTCGGAGGAGTGAATCGGGTTTGGAGCAATATCCCAGTTTCAACCTTCTCTCTCGCTTTGCGTAAAGCCTTGTAGTGCCTATCTCGAAACTTCGCATCGACCCTGTGGGGGGGAGGAGTCGACCTCAGGGTTCGTAATAGTGGAATATGTTGCACTCGTCTTTCTGCGTCTGATGGTATTTTTTTCAAATTTTTTGGACTCGCGCGACGGGCTGCAAATGGTTTACCATCAAGTAATGTAATCTTATGTAGACTGGTAAACCATTTGCAGCCCGTCGCGCGAGTCTAAAAAATTTGAAAAAATACCATCAGACGCAGAAAGACGAGTGCAACATATTCCACTATTATGAACCCTGAGGTCGACTCCTCCCCCCACAGGGTCGATGCGAAGTTTCGAGATAGGCACTGCAAGGCTTTACGCAAAGCGAGAGAGAAGGTTGAAACTGGGATATTGCTCCAAACCCGATTCACTCCTCCGAGTTTGAGGGTAAGCCTTAAGAATTGGCTATATTTCATGTTAAACAAATCCTTATCCATCACATAGTGGCGAAACTGATGAACTCGGTGGGGTAAAAAGTTCACGAGTTTCGGTGGGAATTTTGAATTATTTGCAAAAAACTGCAAAACTCATCTGGAGTTGTTTATGTTTTTAGTGGTTTCCAGTGTGTGGTGGCAGCTTCCCACCACACATACTCTATGACGAGTTGAGATTAATCTCAAAAAGTAGTACAATTTTGACATCATTTTTTACTTTGCGGGTTTCAATGTACACGCATAAGTTTGAAATTTTCAGAATATAGCTGTCAATAGTTTTGCAACAAATTACCATTCATCGATAAGCAATTGTGATTGTAGTTTTATTTATATTAATCAATACTTGTGCAAATTTCGGTAATATTGAGATTATTGATTAATATAAATAAATCTACAATCACAATTGCTTATCGATGAATGGTAATTTGTTGCAAAACTATAAATAATTATATTGTGAAAATTTCAAATTTTTGCGTGCACTTTGAAACTCTCAAAGTGAAAAATACGGTCAGAGTTCTGGACTCATGCGTAGTATAGAGAGGAAATGCAGAGCGAGAGCTTTTCTCGCTCAATAGAGCGAGGAGATAAAATATCACGCAGGCTTAATAGAGGAAAACAAGCTGTTATCATCATGTATTAAAATAATATGCTAATCGTAAGTCAATGACCATCTCACGATTTGTAATTTTCGGTAAATATAGCAGCGTACATTTATTGATAGAATTTAGTCGTTCGTGCTTCCATGGTAATTTAACGCTAAAAAACATACACTCTTAAAAATCCAGTGCTAATCGTCACCGTTCGGTGTGCAGATGCGACTTCACTTTGAGTGGAATTTTGAAATTTGGGAAGAAAGTGACTTCACTTTGAAAAACTACAGTATTTTAAACGTAAATTTCAATAAATGCAAAAATATCTATAATTATAACTATAATTATCTGTAATTCTACGGATTGTTCACCAGATCGCGCTTATTTCTTGTACGAGTGCAAGAAACTATGCATGGAAAAAACAGTTTCTGGCAGGTGTTTTTTTATAGAAGCTGACCTGAGTATTAATATTTTGTTCTAAATGAATACCGTGCATACATACTTCATTTATAGACTGGTCCAAAGAAAGCACATGCCAGATATATTAATTAGTAATAATATTGCCAAAAAGTCCTTTAAATATAGGGCAGCAATGTCATGGTCTAATCTACCATTAAATTTAAAAAATGAGCATGGAAAGATGAGTCTAATTATGTTTAAAAAAGAGGTGAAGAAGTACTTTTTAAATGTCCAGAATACAAAAAGAGTTATAGAATTATTCGAGTTATTCGATTCGGATGAGTATCAAGATTGTTTTTCTATGACGTAATCATCATTTGGTATATGTATGTACAAGCAAAATGAAAATTATGTAATGTATGACTTTCTTTTTTATCCTTGAGGTGTAAAGTCCCATGCAGTGGGGTGCCTCATTGAAATAAATCAAATCAAATCATGCAGACCTGGCTACAGTTACAAACCTGGCATAATTGCGGGGCCCGGCTAATTACTTTCGGTCATACATAACTTGAAGCATTTAAGTACAACCATTAAACACATGCCGCAATTATAGACCCGTATCTTATTTTTTTAAATTAGGATTAAACACCCGGAAACCTGATTCTGGCTAAATGAGCTGGCTTGTGAGTTCAGTTCAGCTCAGCTCAACTCACCTCAGCTTGTTTAGCTCATGAGCTCAACTCACCTCAGCTCATTTGAGGTAAGCTCAGCTCACCTCATAACTCAGCTCACGTGAGTTGAGGTGAGTTGAGCTCACCTCACCGGCAACACTATATTTATCCTCTTGTCCAACGTTGTTTCTAATTTCTACCTGGAAGTAGCAGGCTTGGAGCATGTCTTGATATTTGTTTATATTTCCATACTTCATATATTCATATTTTCATAGGGGTTGAACTTATGTACATATGCATACAAATCGTTTTCATGCATTTCATTAGGAATATATTTCGTCCTACATTTTTATTGGGCTGGGACACTTGAGGTATAATATATAATTTTCATAGAAGAGTTATTAGTGTTCGCTTTTAAAATATAATTATCTTTTCTTCCTCCAGTTTCACAAGTTAGTTGTATATTAGTAGGCAAAGGGCTTTGTAAAATGTAGTGCCCGGCCTTTCTAACGTGGATAAAAATCAAGCAGATTGGTGTCTTGAAAAGACTTCTTTGCATTATTTTAGACCTTACAAATATATGACTTCAAAAATCTTGGGAGTAAAGGTGAAATATATACCATGCATTCCATGCATACATTTCATACTCATTCCATTCATACATTTGTATTTCACTCCTTACAGGGTATGAAGGAAAAAAGACTGAATGGCAAAGTTACTTAATCCTTGAAGGGCCCCATATTCCCATTGCCACATTAAGGGAAGTGAAGGGTCAACAGAAGGCAGAAATGTGTTGTGCTTGTATTCATACATAAGTCGCTACCCTTGTGTACAAACCAGGCACGTTCACTTGCCTTCGGCCTTTACCACGCACAGTTCATCTTCAATCTTTTCTTATCAAGTAAATACACTTTTAGTACACTAAAAGTAGGCAAGTGTAAAAATCGTACATAAATCCGTCCAGTAATATCTTTTTTACATAGCTTAAAAACTAATTAAAACAGTAGTTTCGTGAATATTTAATCATCCCCACGCGGCGATTTGAAGAAAGATATTTAAAATTTGTAAATATCAATTTCTTTCGTATTCAGTTTGCAAATAAGTGTGGAAAACAAATATAATATGTCGACCGCCCAATAGTCGACTTTTGGTGTACAATTTTGTGAGAACACTGTGCATTTAAAGTTTTGAATCTGACTTCTACTACAAGATTAAGTTCAAGATTAAGTCTCATTTGAAGATCCAGATTTACTATTTCGTAGTCTTCATTCACTTTGAAAAATTCGTGTACATATATTAAACCCTTGAATTTGTTACCTGCACACCAATCCAGAAGTTAAATGGATTACCAGCCGGGCAAGGAATGGAAATGTCCCACGTGCTCAAAAACGTTCAATTTCAAGTCGCAACTTGCTAAGCACGTGATTACGCACGACCCCGACGCCAAAGTGAAATGCAAGGTGTGCCATTATATGTATTTGCGAAGTTGAGAATACATATTTTCGACCATCCGTGTTTTACTATACCCATTTTCACTTATTTAGATATGCGGGAAAATTTTGAAAAACCCAATGACCTTATCCCTACACATGGCAAGCCTCCACCCTAACCGACAACGGTTTAACTGCAAAATCTGCCGCCGGGTGTTTCATGACTCTGTCGCTTTACGGGGACACAATGATACCGTCAACAAAACAGGGGAACGACCTCGTTTCTCATGTACGTTTCCTGACTGCGAAAAAACCTACCTGAACAAGCGACACATTTCACAACACGTTAAAGCTGACCACGCGCAGAATCCGGTCCGATTTGTCTGCACGCTTTGCGGCAAAGAATGTAAGTTTAAGAGCAATCTTGACTCACACATCGCCACCCACACGACGGAAAAACCGTACAATTGTTCCACTTGTGGGAAGGGTTTCGTCCTGATGGGAAAAATGACACGTCATGAGGTAAATAAGCATTTTGTGGGAAAAGGTGGATGAAAAATTGGCAATATTCATTTCACAGATGACGCATTTGGACAAATCTACCCGGGAGGTGACAAAATGCAACATTTGTCCGGAGACCTTCTTAAGTAGGGATGGCTTACAACACCACATCCGAGTGGTGCATGAAAATCGGAGGAATCATCCGTGCTCATTTTGTGAGAAGAGATTCCCCAACTCAACTGAATTGAAGCGTCACGTGGAGGCGAAACATGCCACGAATACTAGTAAAGAGCTGGTCCATTTCTGCGACAAATGCGAGTACAAGAGCCACTCAAAACACAATTTCGCTCAACACGTGCGAACTCACAATGTTGCAAATTGGCGGGAGTGTTACTTTTGCAAGAAGAAGTTTTCCGGCTGGCACATATTGGTCAGACACTGCAGTCGAGTTCATTGCCTCGAGAAGTAAAAGAGCGAATTTCATTGTGTTTCACTTTACTAACTTTCAAGTACGAGCGATGTTGAAGAGTTTTTTTGAGATTGGGTTTAATTTTTTTGGGCTATTTTTGAGTTAATCCGATTCAGTCGTCAGTGACACTAGGCGGAATCCACCACAAATTCCGATATATTTACTGCTCCCGTTTTAACTCATCCATTCTTTCGGAATTATAATCATACGACTCAACATTTCGCCCATCGATAACTTGTCCATAAATATTTTAACGCTTTCAAAAATTGTAATGTAAAATAAAAGAATGATGACGAACGACAATGACAATCGTCTGAATCATCACATTATAATAATACGGACATTAATCCATAACGATATTATTGTTACCAATTATTATCAAACAATTTCAGGCGAGTATACGTTGTCCTGCATTTCAATTCTTTGGCACACATTAAGCATAACTTTTGTGGAAGATGTATTATTGCTCACTTTAGAATAGAATTACCTTTATGAAAAAGGTGATAGGACGAAGCTGGATTAAAAAAGCTTCTTCGTCCAGTTCCACAAGGTGGAGTTGTAAGTATGTACTTCTTAAATTTCTCAGATTTTATAATGTTTTGCGAGCAAAATTTAAATAATGAGCTGATAATATCCCATGTGGCAGACCGGTAAATGTTTGTCTATTAAATCTGTAATAATAATTTGAAATATGTACATTCATTATAAACATTCATAATAAACAAAGTTTGCTTGAAGAAATATTGCACGGAAGTGGTAAAGGGTAGAGTCTTTACCATGTTAAATTTAGCATGAGAGGATGTGTCTTGGTACTGGTGGGGGGGGGGTCAGGATTCTCAGAAAATCGATCCCCAACTTTACGTATTTATAGGTTTTTACCGGCAATAAACGGTATGGTTATTTTCCTGTAATACGAAACGAATTTGGTGACCATTCCTGTATGAGCTGCATGCTTCTTGGCTCGGGTTGAACAAATTCAACTCTTTTATGACTACATACCTATGTATGTAGGTATACATTATGTATAATACATAGATATGTATACCAACCACCATTCACTTCTCTTAAAACTTTCGTATTTATCTAGTTAAACGTTCTTAAACAAGACGATCTACTCGAGAGGATGACTTCAGTACTTGTCTTAATAAATAAATCAACTTCAAAATAGTAAATTGACAATAAATTGAGTCACTTAGCTAGTTAAACTGGTAATTTGTGTTTGCAGATTCCAAGTAAAGATTGATTTCGACAAGTCTATCGCATTTTTAACAAAAACTTCCGTAACACTGGATCTAACTAGATGGATAAGAAGCCGGACAGTCCTAAGGGCTCCAAAACGTTAAAAACCAAGGCAAATCATCTCACCACAAACGATCCCAATACGAAAGCGGAATGCCAGGTCAGCGTTTAGACTATAAAATTAAACCATAATTTACAATTTCCAGCGTTCATATATGTAAATAACTCACAATTTGCACAACCTGCTTTACTCAGATTTGCGGACAAATTTTTAAAAATCCAGCCAGCTTAAAAACTCACATGTGGGGTTATCACACCAATCGGGAAAGACCCAGTTGAGATAAAATGACGGATACGTTCCATAGCTTTTCGCATCGATTTCATTGAATCAAATAAAATTAATTGTAAATGCAATTGTGGGTACAAGGACAAATGTACCACAACATTTTTTGAATTCTGTGCAACCACACCCCCTATAAAAATAAAGGAACAAAGTTCGGAAAAATGAGAAAGTCAATGTACATCGTGTAGAATAAGAGTTAGACCTATACTTGCATTTGCAATTTGACTTCCCCTTGAAATACGAACATTTTAATGCATCAAGAGTTTCAAAATTCGAAAATTGGCGGTTTTTTTACGTACACAGAAATCCTTAAAAAACGCATGGTACCACCCATTTACTTCGGACAACCCGATGCCAGATTTTTCTCCTTGGGAAGAGCTACATTTTCAGCTTTTGTTGCCCGAAGGGAATCGATGGTACCACGAGAAATTTGGGGTCAAAGTTTCTGAGGGAGGGACTTATTTTGCAAGAGCCGTAACAAACTCTGGCCACTAATGAGATATGGATTTCAACCACCCAACTTAATTAAGTTTGTGATATTTTAATTACCTAATCACCCCAAATTTAAAACTTGAGCTTTTTCGAATTTATAATGGTGATATCCACTCGGAAATTGACGCTACAGGGCTTATCACTGGACTTATCAATTTTTCAGATAAGCAAGTTTGGTTTATCCAAATCGCCCCAAATTTAAAACTTAAGCTTTTTTGATTTTATAATGGTGATATCCACTCGAAAATTGACGCTACAGAGCTTATCACGGCACTTATCAATTTGTCAGATAAGCAAGTTTGGTTTATCCAAATCGACCCAAATTTAAAACTTAAGCTTTTTCGATTTTATAATGGTGATATCCACTCGAAAATTGACGCTACAGGGCTTATCACGGCACTTATCAATTTTTCAGATAAGCAAGTTTGGTTTATCCAAATCGCCCCAAATTTAAAACTTAAGCTTTTTTGATTTTATAATGGTGATATCCACTCGAAAATTGACGCTATAGAGCTTATGACGGCACTTATCAATTTTTCAGATTAGCAAGTTTTGTTTATCCAAATCGCTCCAAATTAAAAACTTATCTGAATTTCTAAATGCCAAAAATCATGAATTTCGGCGATTACAAAAAATTCGTATTATAATGTTTAGTAGACAATATGCAGTAATTTTGGGTTTCGACTATGCTTAGTCCAAGAATTATTTGATTATAAATAATTCCTGCTGGAAAATCCAGTCATCAGCGAGATAGCAGCAATCTCGGACCCTGGTCCTTTGCGCCTTAGGTGATGTTAATTTAATTATCGCGCGATAATTAAACTAAAATTCTTACCAATTAAAAACAAGTCATTGAAAGCCAAGTTGATGAATTAATTTGCGATATGCGATCATGACTAAATTACCAAGAGATTTTATTTTCGTAAAATTGAATGAATTAAATAGGTTTATAAACCTATTTTACAACAGGTTTATAAAAGTATTTAATGATATGATTTAATAAATAACTTTATTAAAAAATATCTTTGGGAAACAGTCACCAACACCACCATTCGAAGTCCATCTTCGCCACCACTTCCTTATTCATCGCTGAAATTGTCTAAAGAGTCTGTCTACTTCTTCCTGCTCCTCCAGTGAGATGTTGATTGTCCTTCCACGTCTTGATGCTCTTGATGGGAAGATCTTCTTGAGAATTTGTCCAATTTTGATGTAACAGGACGCGTTTTCAGAAATATAAGAGGTTCCAAGTTTTAATTTTGAGGTGTTTTGTTTCCAGAAAGTCACATTTACTTCTTGGTCAGCAAGGTCCACTTCATCGATGATGGCCACGTACCACTGGTTTTCGTAGACACATGCAATCCAATCGCTGACGGCACATTCATCGATGATGACCAGAGGTTGAGCAACTTCGGATTCCATTATTTTAGTTGCCATCACCGTGGTGTCCCGAGAAACTTCATAAAGGTGAATTTTTCCCGATCCAATTTCAACACGGTGAGCTTGTTGAGTTCCAGGAATGGTTGTGATGGTCTCGTACCGGGTTGTCAAATCTTTTTCTTCAATAATCTTCTGAACTTCGGAATCCGAGACGAATATATATTCAATTCCCTCAATATTTGAACTGCACCAGAGGAAGAATTCTTCTGCGGTTGTAATTTTGATACCTTGAAGAGATGCAATTCTTGCTCGACGTTTGGCAATTCCTCCTTGAGCATCTTGAGGTCCCTTCATATGAGCAGTTGCTCCATAGTGCCATACGGCTATAATTCCAAAGTCGTTCTGATGGTGGTATAAGTTGCAGAAATTCTTGCGATTCTTGTATTGAGCTGCAGATCCATCTGAAACGTAGTGAATTTTGGTAATTCTGATTTGGGCAGCAGCAAACTCTCGAACAAGTCTTGGTATGAGCTTAGTCTGGAATGCGTAGAAGGAATTTGTGTCATGAGTGGTGCAATCACTGATAATAGATATGCTCATGTTGTATACAACTTCGTTCACGGCCCAGTAGATTGTGAAGGGGTGAATAGTGATCTGTTTGTGGGAGAAGTATTCGGACTGGACAGCATTCTGGATTACAGGTGAGTAGTTTTCGGAAAAGTCTCCCCAAATGAAGAGCTCACCAGGCTTCAGATTCTTTCGAAGATCCACAAGAAATTCATGCTGAGCTTTGCTGATGTAGTGATGTTTCAACAGCTTCTCCAGTTCCGAAGTTGCAAAGTCCAAGAAGTCTTCGGTTTCTTTTTCCTCAGTCACGTATTGAGTTCCGTCTGTCGTCAGCCATCTTCGGTATGAAATTGACGTGTTGTTCCTGATGACTTCGTTTTCTCTTAAAGCTATTTTGAAGTTTGTTGTAGATCCTTTACACTTTGTACATCGTCTGTAGTAGCAATCCTTGCCTCCACTTTCACAGACTAATTGTGAAATTGAAGGCTTGATGGATGAAATCTTGATGGCATGGAACAGCAGCTTCACATTTTCATGGTAAATGCACACGCAAACGTTGTGGTATCCCTTGCTGGTTAGCGAGATGCATTCTCGTGGCCGCAGCATCATGAATGACGATTTCCCAACTTTCGAATCCGGGTACTGAATCTTGAAATTTTGGTAGAGCTCACTGAGATTGCTTAGAAGATATCGTTTCTGCTTGTGTTCTCGTCTTCCTGTTTCCTTGTTCTTGATGGACAGAAAATCCTTTTGTCCTGGGCAGGCTCTTGACACATCATCTTGATAATAGAAATCTTGAATATTGGATTTGGTTTCTTGGGTAATTTTGTATCCAGATTTTGGTTTTATTGGAGGAAGGATTGTGTCGGTTTCTTTACGACGTTTGCGGCTTCCCTGGACCAAGCGTTTCCCAATATTGAAGAAATCTTGAGTCTTCTTAATACTCCAAGACGGTGGAACTAAGGTAAGCAGTTGTTTTTTTTCGGCTTGAGAACATCCTTGCAATCTTAGCTTCAAGTGCTTCATGATCCAGTTGAGATCTGTAGAATCCTGGAGAAGTTGTTCTTGATTGTGTTGTTCTTTGTCTGGAATTGGTAGTCCGACATCTTGGAATCCTGTGGTGATTGTCTTCGTTACTTGCTCAAGTTCTCTTGTGACTAGATTACTTTGTTGCTTGAGATTTCTTCTGTTCAATGCTATTGCAGGGGCCGAAGGGGAAATTGTTTGCTTGATACTTGTTAACGTCTCGACCAATCTCTTCTTTGAGGCTGGTTCTTCAAAGGTAGGATCTTCCGAATCTTGATCTTGAATTTCTTGGGTATCATCATAGCAGAATTTTGCGTCCTTGCATATCGCTTGATTTGGTAATAATCCCAGAAACTCCCACTTTTTTAGTTTTATTTTAAAAAACTGGAGAATTCCAAAGATGAACCAACTCGTGTGAGAGATAAAAAGCATCTCAACACGAGTTGGTTCATAATCCCGGTAAACAATTTGCAGAGAGTGAGAAGTGAGACAGACCACCATACGGCACTGTCGCATCGACAGTCGCCGGTGGTGGTGATACCCACCAGAGTCCAACTCTCACTCTGCTTTTTGCTAAAAATGGAAACAGGGTTTGTGGAACAGTTGGTATGGCTCTCCTCAGTTGTGTCACATGTCATCGTGCGTTCTTCAATTCGACCACCTTAAGGAACCATATTAAACGTGCTCACAGCACCAAGGAACGACCTCGTTTCCCATGTTCGTTTCCCGGCTGTGAGAAAACCTTCCTAAACAAGATCTACATTTCACAACATGTAAAAACTGAACACGCCCAGACTCCGATCCTATTTGCTTGCACCCTTTGTGGCAGAGAATTTAAACTTAAGAACCATCTTAACAATCACTTTTCCACCCATACGAAGGAGAAGTCGTTTAAGTGTGCCACTTGTGGGAGGAGCTTCGCCCTTAAGATGAACCTGAAAAATCACGAGGTACGTTAATAAGCACGTTCTGGGAAAAGTTAAGTACCTATTTATATATTTATTTATATATGCATGTTAATTTTGCAGGTGACGCATTTGGAAAAATCTTCCAGGGAAATGTTGAAGTGTGACATCTGTGCTCAGACCATTTTAGGGAGAGCTAGCCTTCAGCGCCACATTCGACATGTTCACGAAAAGAAGTGGAATTATCCGTGCTCGTATTGCGAAAAGAAGTGGATAAGTAACAAAGATTTAAAGCGACACGTGGAGTCGATGCACCCAGCGGACAAGGAGAAGATTCATCCCTGCGACAAGTGCGAGTACAACAGAGTCACTCAAAATTCACCTTAACTCGACATGTGGCGCATAACCATACTGCGAAGAGGCACGAGTGCTACTTTTGGAAGAAGCGGTTTGCCAGGTTCGAAGAATTGGCCGGACACTGCAGTCAGGTTCATTGTCTCGAGAAGTAAAAGAGTAGATGCGTTTCGTAATGATTAAAATTGTATTCTTATTTTACTCGATTTCGCAATTTTCATATATGTACAAGCGGTACTAATTCCATCAAATCATCACCTGTGTTTGGTCCCATTTCGACTATCTGTTGTTTCGATATTCTGATCATGCCTTTCAGTTGACGCATTTATTTCATCCATCGGAAATTTGTCAAATTTTCCATTCCTATTTTAAATGCTTCTCAAAATTGTAATGGATAAAATAAAAGAATGTTGACTAAAGGCTCGTTTGAAAACGAATTTGAAGAAGGGAATATGCATCAATGAGGTTTTTATAATGTACTAGAGAATAAACTAATTTTTAATAAATTGCGTTACTAATTTGCCCCTTAAATGTTATACATACTAATTTTTTTAAATCTTTATCAGCTAATATGTGTTCACCAAGTCTTTTATGGACAAGTATTAAGCATTGCATACAATCACTACAATCAGTGATTCCTAATTTTTGACTTAATTATTTAATATAACTCGTTACACTCTTAGAAATCCATACTTTATATGACGTAAAATATAACTCGATATAACTTCCAAAGTGCCACTACCCCACTTATAGCGAATCGCTCTCTCTCGGCCACAAAGTAAGCCATTTTACCCTGTAACAATATTCACAGGGTAACTGAGCGCCCAATAGGGTAACGACCGTAACCCTAAATCGCGTTGATTATGACTTTACTTTCTTGCTTTGATGACCCCAGGAAAAGTTACTTAAGCGTAGTCGCAGTATTAGTACTTTAATAATATATTTTATTTCACATTCAACATTGCATTACAAATTACCCTTATTATGAACCACTAGTGAGGATATTTGTAAGCGCTGGACCCTATTAACTTAAGATAATTTTTTTAATGTTATACTAAAGGTTTAAAATTAGTTTTGCACTTAAAACAAAGATATACCAAGTTCTCACAAATTGTACAATGCATTCCAAAGCCGACCTAAAATGACCTAGAAAACCTGACAATTTTCTCCTGAAATTATTAACAGAGTCTCGTCCGTAATATCGTCATCTGTTTAAAGACAATTAAAATAAAAAATTAAACGCAATGTAAATTAAATTTGTGTATAAATTATGCAAATTGTGCGAATTTCTTACCCTTCAGCGTCCCCGTCCAAATTGTTGCAATAACCTCCTCGTTTCCTCCATTATTTGCTTATGAGTTAACTAACTAATTAATTAACTATCAATTTAACTAACCAGCACTGACTGGCTGAGCTGCGAGTTGTAATGAGAGCGAGGGAAAAGTCAGCGTCTGAAGAATATCCTAAATGGGGCTTGCTTACTCTAAATGGTATAATAGCTTACTTTATGGTTTAGAAAATAGTGGTTTTACTTCACATTTGGTGAGTTTTGTCATTACTTTGAATGAAGTTGACCATTTTACTTCGAATCAAGTGAGGTTTACTTTAAACCGCATAACGTTCCATTTTACTTCATGAAAAGATATTGAATTTTCTAAGAGTGTAGACAATCCCGGTATAGCATGAGAACGGTTCCATTTTTAGTCAATTGTTTGAATATCTATTCATTTCATATGTGTCATTATCCAATACATAAAAATCAAGCCAGTGGACAACCTAATAATGCTACATGTTGAAAGTTGGGTAAAACGGAAATAATAAAATTCGAATTGACAGTGATTTACAATTTGATAAAAAGAGTTTCACAAAATTCGGTCAGCAACATTACTTACGTCGTTTTAAAAATTTTCCAATCGTGGAGAATTGTTGGCTGCATATTTTCCCCAGCGTTCGACTCAGGCATATATACATACATATGTATGCCAGCGTGGATGCATCTTAAATTTTATTATGTACGTACATACATGAGTACATCCATTTATTTTCTTTATGCAAGATTTTAACGGATTGTGCCTGTCGTTGTGCGTGGAGTACTGGCAACCTCACATCCTTCCTTTCTGCATAAGTGGAGAAGGGTTGCATAGGATTATGAACATCATAACTGAACTCCGACAGATCCTATTTCCGTCCCAAGGTGACGAAAGGGTTCACTTTATTCAATTGCAGCCTGCAAGTTGCAGGGATACATATCTGAGGATTTATTTGAACAATCGGGCACAGTCCCTCAACACTTTTATCACCGACAGGTGAATCATCCTCAGCCTTTTTCCAACCATAAATTTTGACCTTGGTCTTAAACTGATCTATGTAATGGAAACGAGCAGCACAGTTCAAACTCGTGAAGTTAAAGCAGCGTCATCACCTTAAGTAAAATTACGCCGTACAGGGAATATATTTTTTCTACATACATAGTTTAAAGTGTAATTAATTAGACAGTTTCTTCGTCAATCTTCGTCACGTGGATATAATTTGTGAACTTTTCAAAAATTGTAAATATCAATTTTGATATATATATATATATTCAATTTACATATAAATGCACGAAATAAATAAGTTCATATGTTGACAACCAAATAGTTGCGGCTTTCATGCAAAACTTTGTGAAAACTAATTGCATTTAAGTGTTTGAAATTTACGTCCGATAGTTTTTGTTCACTTTTGCTCACTTTTGTCCCAAGAGTTCCAAAACGTTAAAAACGGAGATGTCCTTTGCCACAGATCTCGCATCACAATCACAGGCTCCCGACGCGAAAGTGAAATGTCAGGTGAGTTTTTAGATTTAAAAAACTAAAACAGATTTCATAACTTCCTATGTCTTTGTAACTCACAACTTAAAAATGCATTGCTCAGGTTTGCGGGGGAATGTTTAAAAATGCACACAACCTACGCAGGCATATGAGGACCATGCACACCAACCGGGAGCGACCCAGCTGTCCCACGTGTAATCGGGTATTCTCCAATTCAGTCAACTTACGGGAACATATTGAAGTCGTCCACAGCACGGGGGAACGACCCCGTTTTCCATGCACGTTTCCAGGCTGTGAGAAAACCTATCTAAGAAAGACCGAAGTTTCAAAACACGTAAAAACTGACCACACCCAGAATCCAGTCCGATATCCGTGTTCACTTTGCGGAAAAGAATTTAAATTTAGGAACAACCTTACCACTCACATTGCCTCCCACACGACGGAAAAGCCGTACAAGTGTACCACCTGTGGGAAGGGTTTCGCCAAAATGATAAAGATTAGACGTCATGAGGTAAATAAGAATTTTGGAATAAAACCTACCGTAAAAACTCAAATAGTAGCCCTGCCTTTTTTCATAATTTAATAAATAGTGACCTTGCTCAAATAGTAGCCCTGCTTAAATAGTAGCCGTGCCCTAATAGTAGCATTATTCGAATTATAATTAATTTCTAGTGTACGTACATGCAACCAGATATCTCCTAGCCTGCTCATTTAAGTAATTAAATCACAATTCAATTGAATCTCAGTTATACAAAATCGAATTGAACACGAAATTCGGCTCATCGGAGAAATTATTAAAATTAAGAGCAGGCCTAACCCATAGAATTGTCATCTAGTACGAATCTAAGGGAGAATTTGGTGTTGTTATTAAACTTTAATTTGAGTTTGATTCTGGAAAAAAAATTACAATAGCTGTTTGCTAATAGTAGCCCTGCATATTTTCATAATTTTATAAATAATGACCGTGCCCAAATAGTAGCCTTGCTCAAATAGTAGCCAGGTCCCAGCTACCGATTTTTTAAATAGTAGCTCCCGGCTACTAATTGAGTTTTTACGGTATGCAAATATGTAAAGATATTTACACACTAGATGTAAAATTAAAATTTACCAATTTGCAAATTTACTATACAGAAGACACACTTAGAAAAATCCAGCCGATCCAGGATCCAGTGTCATCTCTGTCGTCAGACCTTCTTAGGCCGGGATGGCCTACAACGCCACATTCGATTTTACCATCAAAAGGAGAAGAATTATCAGTGCACATTGTGTGCCAATTGGTTCCAGTCAGCGCGATCTTTGAAGGGTCACGTGGAGGCGATACACCCGGCGAACAAGGAGAAGATTTATTCCTGTAACAAATGTGAGTACGGGAGCCACTCAAAACGCAATTTCGCTCAACACGTGCGCACTCATAATGCTGCGAATTGGCGCAAGTGTTACTTTTGCAAGAAGCAGTTCTCCGGCTGGCAAATATTGGTCAGACACTGTAGCCGAATTCATTGTCTCGAGAAGTAAACGAGTAAATATTTTTCATTGTGCCTATAATTTAACTCTCGTTTGACAGTGGTAATTTTCATGCACAAGCGATGTTTTTTTAGATTAACGTGGTAAAATGGGCGTTACTTTTTTGTTAGCGTTGAATTAATCTCATTCTGACATGGAAAAGAGGTAGCGTAAAACTACCAAGTAATTGATGCATGTATACTCAATTAAGTAAAAATTGTATAAAACCAATTGTTACTTGGAATTTTATTTGGGTCGGCAGCAGTAATTTTTAGTGTGGGGTAGCTGATTTTCTTTAAACTGAAAATCGCACCTTAATCAATCTGTATTCTACCAATGGAAATAATTACGAACATCAGCTAACACGTTGATGCATTATCAAAGGGTCGCATTTTTTTACTATCACAAATTGAATGATGATTTGGAAAAAAGTGAGCCTTAAAATAAGACAAATTCGTACATACGTTCATATACCCTAGCTGCATGCATATGTAAATATGTATGTACGCATTTGTAATACAAGTCGAACCAACGTTTGCTGTACATATATACAAATATTTATGCATAAATACCACGGTAAGATATGTCACAAAAATAAAGAAAATGTTAAAAATGGTGATGCAAATAAATCAATATGCCAACATTTGTGCCCGACCGTGAAATTAAACGGTTTTCGCTGTTTCTTACATGATTAAAAAAAGTTAGACTTCCGAGAATTTGATAAGGTAAAAGATCATGCACAAAGTTTTGCTCTCAGACAGACGCCTTGGATTAATGCCAGCAAGTCTTAAAATGGAACTTGTTTCTCACTTTGAGCTTTTGCATGATGATAATTAAAATCTAATTATCTCTGCCTAATTTATCAAATTTATGTACTAAGTGATCAGTTATGGTTGAAACTCGAAGAGTCTTTTGACGTTCGAATAAGAATATTTGAACATATATATCTTGGCGTTTTTTTAATATAAAATAAATATTTCGGACGTTATAAAAAATATTTTCCTGGGATGGGAATAACTACGTAGGCGTACACGCACAGTTTTGTAATGTATGTACATGCATACACAAGTACATACATTTGCAGGGGGTACCACATAAGGACGGAGGGTTGTGATCAATTGTAGTTAATGAAGGAATTCAGTAATTCCAGTCGTAATTATTCTAGCGTGGAACTGTTCCTTTGTGAGGGACTTAAATATCACAAAAATCCATTTGTGCATGATTTTCGTAAGGTCCTCAGAACGTGGTTAGTTATTTTTACCCAAAGAGAACTTAAGGAACCGACCATTTCTTTGTGGCATGCAGTTCAATGTCAATACTTAAAAAATGCGACCCTTTTCCGATCCACCATTCACTTCACTGAATGACTAACTACTTACACGCCGGATCAACAACTTGTTAAAAATCATTCCGAAATGTATTTGTGCATTTTTCCACCGCAAATTTCGAAATTGTGTGAGTTCCCAACTATAAATTAGTTTAAGTTAATTTACGTAGTTAAGCACTTTTAAGATATCCAACCTAATTTTAGTAAGTATCTAGAAGTCAAGAGACTTCTTAAAACCGATAACCGACTCTTGATGGATGTCAAATCGCGGAATAAATGGGAATGTCTCGAGTGTTCAAAAACATTCAAAACCAAGAGGAATTTGGAGATGCATGTTTTCACGCATGACCCAAATGCCAAAGTGAAGTGTGAGGTGAGCGATTAGACTTGTAGAAATTTAAGTTAATTTTACCCCGTCCACGTGCCATGTGTAATTCATAGCCTTTCTGCATTGCTTAGATTTGTGGAAAAATTTCGAAAAATCCTCCCTCCTTGTCTTCCCACATGGCACTACTTCACACCGACCGGGAACGACCCAGTTGTAAAATTTGTCACCGGGTATTTTTCTCCGCTCAACGTTTACAAAGTCATATTGACACCTTCCACAGCACGAGGGAACGGCCTCGTTTTCAATGCGAGTATCCCGGCTGTGAGATAACCTACCTAAGCAAGGGCAGTCTTCGGCAACACGTAAAAACTGAACATGCCGAGAACCCGGTCCGATTTCCGTGCTCACTTTGCGGAAAAGAATTTAAAACCAGGGCTGAACTTGGACGACACATTCCCACCCACACGACGGAGAAGCCATACAATTGTTCAACATGTGGGAGCAGTTTTTCCAGGATGGAAAACATGAAACGTCACGAGGTACATAGCATTTTGTAGGGAAGTCAAGGTTAAAAATACCACTGCATATTATTATTATTCATTTTATAGTTGACGCATTTGGAAAAATCTACCCGAGACATGTACCAGTGTCCAGCCTGTCCTCAGACTTTCACAACTAGAAGTACACTACAATTGCACGTGCTAGTTGTGCTTGAAAATCAGAGGAATTATCCGTGCGCATTTTGTTACAAGAGATTCGCCAAATCCTCAGACTTGAATTGTCACATGAAGGCGATGCATGCCACGAATGAAGAACTGGTCCATTTCTGCGATAAATGCGAATACAAGAGCCATTCGAAGCGCAATTTGGCCACACACAGGGTACGGCACAATGCAGCGAGGCATAATTGTTACTTCTGTGGGAAGAAATTCTTCACTTTTCAAGATTTGGTACGACACACCAATTGCACTCATACGTTGGAAAAGTAAAGATAAGCCTTTGTAGTTATCATTTATTATGTTCTTTAATGATTTGAAGATAAATAGTCCTTGCCATTTACATAAATACTGACATTAGATGAATCTGTAGTCAAAAATGGGTATAATTGCCAAATTTTTCGAATTTTTTAAGAAGTTAAGAAGGACAACCAAGTTTAATCGTTATTTTTTTGTGATGTAAAAACAACTAGACTTGATAAATACTTTTTTACAGAATTTGAACAGAAAGGAAAAACATAATGTTGCAGTATATATACTATAATAATCTTTTGGAGTAGTTTTGGAGGAGTGTAAGGTTACTAAGGTTGGTAACGTTTTAGAAAAATAAAAATGTAAAGCAAATTTCATTGTTGTCAAACTTTCTTGTCCATAGCAAATTTTTAAAATGGTGCAGACAATGCCCAGTGGAAATTGAAACATACGGAAAAAGGCCCGCAAAAGCCATTGGGTATTGAAACGTGTAAAATGCATCAATTTAAGTATTCCCAAAAAGGCGACTTTTTGCACACTCCTGGCAAGTAACCTGTCTACAAATCCATTACCAAAAACCCTCAAAGGATCATATCTCTCTACTCCTAAATTTCAATCCGTTAGGTCATCCGAAGACGAAAATACGTAGGGTAAGGTGTTAAAAATTCTCCCATTAGCCTACGCTTGTTCCCCCGTGTGACCCCACCAGAGTCTAGCGGGCAGCCCAAGTTTTTCGGCATGCCTTGCCCAGCCCACGTGGGCATGGGCCGGGCGGGCACAAAAGAGATGGGCTGGGCTGGGCATTTTATTGCCCAAGAAATTCGGGCCGGGCTGGTCTGGGGATTTTATTGCCCAAGAAATTCGGGCCGGGCTGGTCTGGGCATTGAAAACATGCTTCCCAGCTACACTCTGGACCCCACCCTTTCGCCCACTCCATCCTCAATACGCCGTGGACTTGATGAATATCACAATATAGATAAACTTGACTGCAAACTCGCTAGAAATTCATGGGCTTTTCTAGTCTCAGGAAGTGTGGCAAATTCGAACCAAATCACGGTATCATACTCGGGATGACTTTGCACAGGTTTTGCTGGTGAAAACATTGGTGGTTCTGCCCCTTCTGCCAAAATATTTTCCGGATCCTCCACCCCCGTGACTCGTATGTCGCACGAGCCTGCGTTCGTATATTCCCCCTGGGCATGCCACTCCGAAGCCAAATCGTCACAATCTTTCCATATAATTGAAACAACTGTTTGAAAGTTTTGCCGCGATGTGACCACCACGAAGGAATTTGGCCTGAAGATTGGCGTATTCTTGGGAACGTACAAAAAATGGTTTTTTGACAAACCCCAATAATCCATGGACCCAGTGAGATACGAGACAATAACAATTAAACGAAATCCCAGCGAGAAAGAGACCCCCAAATGTGTGGAATTCTTGCGAGAGATGTATATGAATTTATCTTTCACACAAATTACAAAAGTGGAGAAAAATGAACCCCCTTAAACCTGAGGCTACTTGAAATTGCTCTCTTCTTCGTATTTCGTAAATATTTTGGCGTTTGTTCATAAACATTGTATGTACATTTCGCTTTATCCTTCTGGGGAACAGCCAGACAGACGGACAAAGCCATAAAATCATTTTTTGCGCAGGCTAGGGGTCAAGATTCTCAGAAAATCCATCACCAACTAAACCAGTAGAAACATACCGACAATAAATTGCGGTTATTTTTATACACCACAAAGTGGTGTGCGTCGCATGCCTTTTGGTTATTGCACAATTGCAACCTTTTTTCTTGCTACATATAAATATATGAACCACAAGTCTTTCACCGTGCACTTCTCTCAAAATTTTTGTAGTTAAACGATCATATGCAAAGACGTTGTAGCTGCGAAGATAAGTTCGACACAAATATACATCAAGTACATATAAAAAAAGTATTCCTAAAAATTTAGTTTAAAAAATTGGGATATTTGTGCAGTTGAAATTGTAATTTATACTTACAGATTCCACGTACTGAGAAGTTAAACTAATTTTTAACAATTAGAAATCTGTAAATTCAAAAGCTTCCTGCAAACTTAATCTACATGGATATTAAGCCAGCGACAAACTGGGAAAGTCCAAAGAGCTCCAAAACGTCAAAACCAAAGTCCGTTACCAAGCATCTCGACACACAAACTCCCGATGCGAAAGTGAACTGCCAGGTGAGCGTTTAAATAATTCGTATAAAATCAAGACAGATTTTACAATTTCCAGTCTCCACATATCTAACTCAGAATTTGCACACGTACTGTCAGGTTTGTGGGAAAATTTTTAAAAATCCACCAAGCCTGCGATCTCACATGCGGAGTATTCACACCGACCGGGAACGACCCAGTTGTGACATATGTCATCGGGTCTTCTTCAATTCAGCAAACTTGCGGACCCATATGAAAGCCGTCCACAGCACTAGGGAACGACCTCGGTTCCCATGTGGATTTCGCGGATGTGAGAAAACTTTTCTGCATAAATCCCGAGTTTCGCAACACGTAAAAACCGAACATGCTGAGAATCCGGTCCGATTTCGGTGCACACTTTGCGGAAAGGACTTCAAAACAAGGACTGAACTTGAGACTCACATTTTCACACATACGACGGAGAAGCCGTACGATTGTGCCACTTGTGGGAGGAGTTTTGCTAGCAGGGAACACCTAAAAAGTCACGAGGTATGTAAGTATGTATGTTGTGCGAAGAACTGGGAAAAAAATTACCAATGTGGATATTAATTTTACAGATGACGCATTTGGAAAAATCTTACCGAGACAAGTTACAATGTGACATCTGCCCGCAGACCTTTTTAAGCAAACATGCTCTACAATTGCACACCCGAGTTGTGCATGAAAATCCGTGCACATCTTGTGGCAAGAGATTCCCCAACTCAACAGAATTGAAGCGTCACGTGGAGGCGAAACATGTCACGAATAAGGATCTGGTCCATTCCTGCGACAAATGCGAGTACAAGAGCCACTCGAAACACAATTTGGTTAAACACCGAAGACGTCACAATGCAGCAAGGCATAAATGTTACTTCTGCGGGAAGAAATTTGTCACTTTTTACGAATTGGTCAGACACTGTGGTCGAGTCCATGTATTGTATGTATGTACTATGTGGGGTGACCAGACTACTCATTAATAGAGACAGCCAGGCCAGCGGCGGTAGCGCAGGTCGAGTCCATACTCTAGAAAAGTTGAAATACTGATGAATATAAAAACTACTAGTTTTAAACTAGATATATAAATATCTATTTATGCCACGCACGCAGGGCGACCGAAGCCTGTGAATTTTGAATGCCACTTCTGTCGAAGAAATTTGACTTGGTACGACACTACTCCAATCGCTCCCATGCCCCGGAAAAGTAGAAATTTGATAGCTTTTAGATTTTGTTCGATTTAGTGTACTAACCTTTAAACTAACTTCTACACTTATAAATAGCATTATGCTGTAAAATCAACTTATCCGCGGAAATTGTACCTTGCAGAAGCAAATTATGATGTCGCTTAAAACTAGGATACATATGTAATTAATTTAGACGTCAAATAAAAACTCGCATCTTTGAATAATTTTTAGTATGCGGTACTGCCGGCCGCATTTGATTTAATTATGAATCACTTACTTCTGATGTTACTTCTGATGGCTATTTTTATGGGTATCAAAGGTTTGCATATCCAGCCTGCCTGTATGCAAACGTATATTTCAGTTTTCGATTTTTCGCCGCGGTGGCGATTTTAGACCTTACACTTGTCCTTGGCGAAAACTTCCTGTGGGCGTCAAAAAAATCGGGCACGGTCCAACCAAGCTCATTTTTCTTCAAAATGCATGCCGCATCCGATTAAAAATATTGCAAAGTTCAAAAAAATTATCCACGAAGTTTTTTTTTCGGAAAAATAATTTTGACTTTTGACCTGTGTGTGACATTAAAAAACGAGGAAATTGACCGTAGATACTGACTTTTTAGATCAATACTTTTTAGATTTTAAAGGAGTTTTAAATTTTTAAATTACGAGATCATATCGATATAAAGAAAATGCGGTCGTAGCATTAAATAAGTTACATACTGTAGATGGATATTAAGAAGACAGTGAAAATTTTGAAGCAGTTTGCCAACTTCCAAATATTGGTCAGACACTTTAGTCGAGTTCATTCATAATCTCGAAAAGTAAAAGAGTAATGTGTTTCATTATGTCTATAATTTTATGCTTGGTTCTTACCGTAGTAATTTTCATTTGTGCGTATGTAAATGCATTTTAGATGTATTACTTTTTCGTAAGTTTGAGTTAATCCATCATTCAGTTGGCGCATCGATTTCACCATTTGGCAATTTGTCCATAAATATTTTAAAGATTTCCAAAATTGTAGCAAAATGAATATTGACGAACTACAATAATAATTTATTAAAAACAATTGCTATCAATTTAACAAGTTTATATATTTGATCTGCTTTGATTTACAAAGATCTATCATAAATGTACTTGGATTACGTATATGTTAGGTATGAAGACATAATTTTAGGTTTGAGTAGTATGTTAATATGGATCTATTGTGGGTTATTCAGACCGGATATTTTCTAGAGACACCATTCATAGGGAATGGTAATGATAGACCAACCGCCCCCACTTCTTCGCACCCCAGATATTTAAGAAAATTCACAAAGGTTTCGAAATGTTGCATCATGTCAAGAGTAGGGTGTACAGTTATAACTTTCTTATGGGGCGGTTCCAATTTCTTAATGTTTGTCTTTGCATCGTACATGGGTTTGAAGTTGTCCCATTGTGACTTCAATTTCGCTTCTGTTATTTCTCGTGCCAGTCGTTGGACAGGAATGTTGAGAAAATATGACGACAACTCCAAATCGGAAATTTTACGTTGTCCATCGGGAGAAAGTGGTTGTCGATTGTTGGACGACTCGTTTGGTATGGGACACTCCTTTTTCACAAACAAGTCGCCCCACCCGTCGTCGTCCTCATCGCCGTCCTTGTCTTCGTCGCCAGGTCTGACTGACAGAGGGACGGAACACGTAGCATCGCCATTTACTCTGCAAACGTACACGTAATACTCACAATGGAACCTTTTTTCAAGCTACACCGGGATTAACTGGCGAGTTATTTCCAAAAATCAAGCTAAAACTTAGGAGTCACATAACACTTATCTTTCCGTTGAATGGCCACTTTAAAGAAAAATCTTGGCGGTTAAGTTCAATTTTTGAGCAAATTTTCTCTTGCTTTTTCCTCCACGCGAAAACCAAGACGCTCGTGTGAACTTTGACCTCTAATATTTTTCTTCAAAAGGGCCATTCAACGGAAAGATAAGCGTTATATGACTCCTACTTTTTGGCTTGATTTTTGGAAATAACTCGCTAGTCGATCCCGACGTAGCTTGAAAAAAGGTTCCATTGTCAGTGGAATGTAAACAAATGTTTGAATTCTTTGCTCCTTATGTATATACCCATCATCGCACGGGCCGGTGAGACGCGTACAAGTATCGTGATCAATCTGTGTCAGGTTAAGGTTTGACGTCGTCTTCTTATCATCCCCCGTGTACACGTGTGCTGGTCTGGAAATCCCCTTTCTTCTTGTCTTTGTATCCTGCATGATACAAACAAAATGTAATAAATATGTAAGGGAACTACATCTTTCAAAAACCCTCCGTATTCCATTTAAACTCGTACAGTATGAAATATGTGCTTACAGGTGGATCTTCTAAACCGAACAAAGATCTCCTCTCTTCAACGTCCTCACTCCTCTTCGGTTGTTGTCGGGATGTAACAAAAACTTTTGTCCCAGGCACTGGCGTAAATAGGGGTAGGTGGGGGAGGCCCCACATATCGGCCCCCAAGATGAGACGGCCCCCGGCCGTCGGACGCTTGTGTGTATATATTATTGGATTTTTTTCATTGACGAATAAAATATTAAAAAAGAGGAATAATTTTGAATTAATTTATATACTGGAAAACCTAAATCTGTTACCATTTCCTGCACTTTTAAAAGTTGTTTTTAGTTTTCACAAGAAAACATTTGCATACAGGCTGTATCATACATAGTCCGACTATAAGTTCCCTCAAATGCATTTTTGCTGATAATTAACAAAGTATTAGATCTGTTTGTTAGAAATTTTTATGGATGAATGAGGCACTAATATTGTTTTTAAATCATAACTTCTTTTTCAAGATTTCGTGCACGGGCTTGAACGCAAGACTTAATTCGTGACAGAGACTGCTTGATCGCGGCAAGCGCGTTTTTTCATGAGAAGTGTTTCAGACTTTTTACGTTGGAGAGAAATTCAATAGAAAAAATTGATAGATTTTTTCTCCACAGATGTCTGACATCCATTAAAGTATGCGTAAGTTGAAGTCACCACCATAGTGTGAATTGGATTGAGTTGGCTGGAGAAAGCAAATCTCTGTGTTTTGCACCAAATATAAAATTTGGAGACACAAATTATTTGCAAAACGTCCAAGGACCAATCATTAAACCCATAAACTCTCCGATAACGAACATAGGCCCTTTGTACTAAATTCTGTTCCTGCAAATAGCAGAACATCGCCCAAAACTGATTTTGGACGAATTTTTATGACCTTTTTCATCCAAAGAACGGTCCTTAATATCTTTACACCTTGATCCCCTAAACTACGGCTGATGGTCAGAACTATAGATACAAGTGTGTTCTAAATCTCCCACAAGTGTGGAAGGCCTGAGGTCGTACCAACTGCAGATCTGTTCGGTTCTCCCATGAAAACCGTGCGTGCCGCGATTGAGCAGTCTCCACCACGGCTTAAGTCTCGCGTACAAGCCCGAGAACCTAATCTTGAACAACGAGTTATGATTTCTGAACAATATTAGTGCCTTGTTCATCAATAAAGGTTTCTAACAAATAGATCTGCAGAGGATCAAAGATCGTATTTGTACAGGTTTTAAAATCGAAATTGAAACTTCAGTTGGCATTGATGAATTTGTTTTGCCTATTTGTGTTTCATGTACTATGTTATGTCAATGCGTTCCTCAGACCTTAGCCAGCCTACCGTAAAGACTCTATTTATAGCCGGGTCTTGAGCCCAACTTTGAAAAATTTAATAAGCTTGTCCCGAATTATGACATTCCTTTAATGTCCGTTTGTAGATGCTTCAAGTTATGCATAACCGAAAAATAATTTACCCGGGTCTCTAATTATACCCGGTTTGAAATTGTAGTCGGATTTGTGTCGTCTATAGACCCGGCTATAAATAGAGTCTTTACGGTATATCTCCTTTTCACGAATTCAATAGTTATCCTATATTTTGGAGGGCAATCTTCTTCAACTCCTCTTGAAGATTTTTCCGAAACACCATAAAAAACTGGAGCGCGTCTGAAATGAAGCTATTATTTCAGTAGTCTAAACCCATTCAAAATCTAAAGGAGTGGCATCAGGACTTGCCACAGGTATCTAGCAATTGGGAATTATTGAAATCCCTGGCATTTTTTTAACTCGGCTGCATACTGAATCGTTTTCGGTTAGATATTCATTGTTAAGTTTGATTTTGGCCATTTTTGACCTCTTTCTGAAGTTTGTTGTCGCTGGAGCAACTTATATGCAGCAGACATATTTTAACAAATTTTCCAATTTGATTTTGGGTCAAAAGATTTTCTCACCTTGTCAGGGCGTCGATTTTTCGAAAAACCGTACGCGAAAACTTTTTTTGGAGGCTGCAACTTTATTGGGGATGCCAGTCCCGCTAATTTAGATATTGGTCTAATTAAAGCGGAACTAAGTTCACGATATGTTGAAGAACGAGTAACACTGCATCCGGATAATTTTAACTTCTCCAAAATTTTCCTTCGTGACAATTTTTCTTCGGAAAAATGCGTAAGGAGATGGTCGAGTTCGGATGTCGATTTCTTTGGCATTTATTGACTGATGTTTGTTAATTAAAAATCTTATTCACCCCAAATCACTATGTTTTGAGAGCAAAATTGCGGAATTACAAAAAGCTTATCCGTCCAAGAGTTTGATCAGTTTTTCTCACTGTGCAAACAGGACCTGTGACTCTGTAAGGCTTTGTGGATTATCGCCAGAAATGCATTTGTTAGAACTTATGGTCCGAGTATGTATATTAAATAGAAGAATTACAGTGTAGCATGAAACTTTGAAGCTAAAATTAACAAAAAAATTGGCTCCGACTTGTAACAGTTCATTTAGATTTACATAGGCCCCCAAATTCAGCGCACATACCGGCCGCGAATCAATAATTACTAAATTAAACGAACCTGTGAAGTTCGATTGTAATTATGGTCCGTCTCGCCCGAATACATCAATTATACACTTGTAGTCACACCATCTCACGCCGTGGGTCGCTTTATTTAGAGAGGCAAAACGTTTTCGTCCCTCCTTCTGCCAGCATGCTGGTGCACACTTCATTAGTTGAGAGGCATTTTTCGAAAAAGAATACATCACTCCAGGGAGGGTTGGGTGGGAGTGATGTATTCGGGCGAGACGGACCATAATTACAATCGAACTTCACAGGTTCGTTTAATTTAGTAATTATAGTCCGTCTCGCCCTCTACATCAATTATACACTTGTAGTTGTTCAGAGAATCTCGAAAAATGCGAGATTTTATTTACTTAGTCTAAGGAGACTATAAGTTTCAAATGAATCAATTTATATTGAAAACAGATTTAGCAAAATTATTGTCAGTAATAATTGGTCTGTTATAGAACTTTGCAAAAGTTGATGACGTAGGTGTCCATCCAGCAGACGAACGAATTTCCTCAATATTGGTTCCGTTGCTTAATGCCTTCGAAGTTGAAGCATGACGGACACTGTGAGCCTTGAAAAGGGTCACATCAACGCCACTATTAGATAGCGTGTTCTTAATCCAACGTCCTATGGTTTGAGATCCAACAGGTCGGTGTGGTTTTGATAAGCCCACGAATAATTCATCGCCAGTTCGTATCTCTTGAGTACGAGAGATGTAATCTCTTACACAAGTCATAATACACCAATATTCATGATCTTCAAATTTAGGTAGTATCAAATGCGGTTGAAATTTTCCTGGTCCGGAAGTTTTAACTTGATCAGTCAAAAAAATGTCGATTTGATTGTGACCAACCTTCACTTCGGAAATCTTTATCTTGGATAAAGTTTGACAACGTTGTGCGGTACACAGGGCAAGCAAGGTGACGCATTTCTCAGTCAAGGCCGAGATGGATAGTTGGTCATGGGGCCAAAGAGTTTTCAGATATTCAGTCACGGTGGTTGCGTCCCAGATTACATCGTACCTTGGTTTTGGTGGTTTCATCTTGGCTACTCCCTTAATAACTCGTTTTACTACTGGGTTAGACCCAATGTTTTCAAACTCTGAGTTAGTAGCTAATAAGGATAGGGCTGAGCGCGCCGTGTTAATTGAACTATAACCGACGGATTTGAGCATTTCAGTTAGAAAGGAAGCCACAACTTCTGGAGAAGTTATAAAGATGGAAAGTTGTCGTTGATTGGTAAATTTTGACCAACATCTGAGGGAAGATTCGTATTGTTTCCAGGTCGAATTTGAGAGTGAGTTGATGATGGTGTCAGCAGAATCGTCGAGTCCTCGTGACTTGAGCGCTTCCCTGACAAGACTCCTTCCATCAGTGAAAGTGAATGGCACAAAGGATGGGGAGATCTACCAAATTGTAAAAGAAATTTGTTAAGTTCAAATAATATTGGTTCTAGGACCAGCATGGATTTGAATAGTGGAAACCAAGGTTGACACTCCCAATGGGTAACGACGACTAAGCCAGTGGCTTGGTCTGTCTTAATTTTTCGCAAAACCCGTAGTATCATACTAAAGGGAGGAAATGCGTAAAAATTTAAATCGGTCCAACTTAAAGTAAAAGCATCAATATTGGATGCGAAAGGGTCAGGTTTCCAGGAAACATAAATTGAACATTTTGCATTCTGAAGAGTTGCAAAAAGATCAATGCTGGGTGATCCAAACTTAGTGGTCATCTTATTAAATGCTTTAGATGACAGACTCCATTCAGTGTCAGTTTGAGTGACCCTGGAGTAGAAATCTGCGATGTCATTGTCCTTGGAGCGGATATATGACGCAACAAGCCAAAGATTTCTTGACTCACAGAAATTCCAAATTAATCTTGTGAGCTTCATAAAATGGAGAAACTGAATACTACCCATTTTATTTATATTACTCAATGCGGTGGTATTGTCTATTCTTAGCAAGATAGTGCCATTAGACCAGGACTTGCCAAAACTGCGAAGTCCATACCATGCAGCTTTAAGCTCGAGGTAATTTATGGACAACTTCTTGTCATCTCCGTCCCATAAACCGCTAATTGCAACTCCATTGCAATGTGCTCCCCAACCAGATAATGACGCATCAGTAATATACTCATAGTTTATTACATCCGTTCTGATTGGAGAGATTGGATTGGTTAATGAGGTTAACCACCATTTAACATCCTCGTGGATGTATTTGTTTAAGATAACTTGCGATTTGTAATCAGTTCCCATCTGAAGCAGAGTTAGGAATTTTGTACTCTCAAATAGTTTGGTGTACAAAGGACCATATCTTATTGCAGGGAAACAGGCAACAAGTGTGCCTGTAAATTCTGCTAGTTGTTGAACTGTGCAAGTATTTTTGTCAAGAAGCCTCTTACAAAGATGAATTGTATGCATGGCTTTTTCCCTCGGCAATTCAACAGTCATGTTGGAAGAGTTGAGAATAAATCCCAAAAATCTTTGAGATTTTGACGGGATCAACTTGGATTTATCATAATTAATGATATATCCTAGCTTTTCTAAAATCCTGATTGTGGTGAAAGTGGATAACAAGCAGTTTTCGTAACTGTTTCCAATCGTAAAAGGGTTATCCAAGTAGATGACATTCCTTATGCCAGAAATGCGGAGATAACGCATGACTGGTCGTAAAATCTTGGTAAAAGTTGTAGGAGCTGAACTTAAGCCAAAACAAAGGCAATTGAATTGGTATAATTCGCCTTTCCAACTAAATCGTAAGAATTTACGATCAGATCTTGACACGCTTATTAGATAATATGCGTTTTTAAGATCAATGGTGGTCATGTAGCAGTCGTTTTCCATTAAACGAATTGCAGACCTAAGATCCTCCATCTTGAACTTGGAGTATTGTAGGTACTCATTAAGATGTTTCAAATTAATGATAAATCTCTTCGAGCCGTCTGGTTTAGGAACCAAAAATATTGGAGATACAAATTGGTTAGGATCGTTATTGCATCTCTCTATTGCGCCTAATTGGATTAGTTCGCGAATAGAAGTGTCAATATCATTCGTCTCCTGAATGGAAACTTCCTTATTAGAAAGGAATGTTGGATTGAGAATGGTCTTAAAAGGTAATTTGTATCCATTTATGATGGACAATACTTTCTTTCCCACGCTTGGGAGTGTCAACCATTCGTGGTAGAATTGTTTCAATCGCCCAGCATGTGAACTCACCTGAAGAGTTAATGATGGCGACGAGGACCGCTCCGATTGCTCTTCCTGGTGGTTCGATACCCCGAGCTCGGGAGCGGTCGTGAAGAGTTTAAAGAAGCCGTGCGGTGGTGACCAGACTTCTTGTTGTCCTTGGGTTGATCTTGTTTTGAATTGTCAGAACCAGGTTTATGAGCAATCTCATTACCAACCTTAGTTAATGACTTAACCCTTTTGATTACATTAGATAAATCAGTACCAAACAAGAAAGGGTAAACCTCGGAGTCATTTAGGACTCGGGTCATAGTCGGGTCCTTAATGTTAGCAGCGACTTGCTTCCTCCTGTATGTGGAAAGGGCATACTGGGTGCCGAGGAGGTATCTGCCGGCATCACTTATCTTTGAAATTAGATCATGACGAGTGATTTCCATCTTATCGTCCAAGATGCTGCCGAGTACATTGCCAATAGCCGCGGAGGCTGTGGCAATATGATCCTGAATACGGCGAAGGCTGTCATCCTTAATTTTAACGACATCCGGTATAGCCGATGTTAATTCGGGGTTAATCTTGGCCCCGGCAATAATCATTCTTTCTGGGATAGGATATTTGTCGAGGAGCTTGTCGCGTTCCTCTTTACTTAGTCCAGATTTTGCGATAGCATTCCATCGCTCAGTTATTTGGGGATGAAGGCTCGGCCCCATCTTAGCCACAGGTTTAGGTAAGTCACCTAAAAGGCTGCTAGTGTCGCACTTGGATGAACCACTTCCAGCCGGCAAAATATTACAGTTATCATTGGATGAATTTTGTTGATTCTCATTAGATGAGATATTGGGTTGCCCATTAGATGGGACTTGGCTTCCAGGGTCTAAAAATGGCGACGGTCGTCTAGACCTGGAGCGCTTACTTGTCTGGGATGAGTCATCAGACGATGATGAGGGAGACCGTTTCCGTTTCCTTTCTCGGCGGACCAACTTGTCGACCTGTTTCTGCAGTCGGCGAAGTTTTCGGTCTCTCCTGCTTCGTTTCTTGTCCTAATGACGTGATGATCTGGCCGATGACGAATCTGAAGAGTCCGGCATTTCTAAAATTTCACAAATTGTGTAAAAAGTATACCACAATTAAATCGTGAAATATGTTAATCAAATTTATAAATCTAATAGTTATAAAAATTGATATCAAATCTTGAAAACAATTAAAGGTTTTGCGAAAATTTTTTATTGTGATGAGGAGCACAAAAGCGAGGGTGTGGACCCACGGAGCTTTTGTGATGCAATGAAGTGTGCACCAGCATGCTGGCAGAAAGAGGGACGAAAACGTTTTGCCTCTCTAAATAAAGCGACCCACGGCGTGAGATGGTGTGACTACAAGTGTATAATTAATGTAGAGGGCGAGACGGACTATAATTCCGCTACTGCTCCCAGGGTGAGCTCCATGATTAAATTTGGAAAAGTATGCCTTCCACTCTTTTCTAAGTAAAGCGAGAAACTCGGGTGTCAGTTGGTTTTTTCTAGGACGTCTGCCTACTCCCGTATACCCTGCGTAGGGCCGCCCGTTCTTCCGGTATCTAACAATTAACTCGGGCATTTCTTAATTGTGTAAAAATTAAAGTCAGAGAAACAGTTGTCTAAAACCAAAAACCGCAAAATTTTGACGGATCAGAGGAGGATGAAATCTATTCCTCCCGCTCTGACGCAGAAGCATATTTGCACATTCACATCACGTCAAATGTGTGTTGTTAAGACTGGGTAGAAGGATGCATATAATTGTAGTACATACGTTCTACTCCTACTAGCGTTTTTTTTATTATTTTCATTTATTTATTCACATGCTACAGAATTTTTCTTATTTTACCTACTTTGTCCATGATTATCATTAGTCACGGAACTTATCCACACCCGTAATAATGCGACTTCAAATTTCAAAGAATCATATGAAACTAAGAGTCACATTATTCTCAAGCTGTTCGACAATTTAACCTTATCATTACTGAATACGATGCAATTCACCCCAGGATCTAATTATGTTCCCTTCCACAGTCATAGCTTGGAGAAGAATTGCATGTATTCTTATGGGGCACTGCAAAGGTCACTTCGTCATGCTATGACTATGGAATGAAATGGATATGGGGTACGCGGCATTGTGTTCAGTAATAGTAAGGTTAGACGGTCCAAAAGTTTCATTTCCTGGTTGTGAGAAAATTTACTTACTTACAAGGCTGAGGTTGTGAGACATGTAACAATCGAACATTCCCCAAATCCTTTATCGATTTAACCCAAACCGATTTCCGTGCACACTATACGGAAAGGAGTTCAAAACCAAGTGAATAGGTTTGACTATTATGATTACATAATATACATGTATCTATTTTGGGTTATACAGGCTGGATATTTTCAAGAGACACCATTCATATGGAATGGTATACCATATTCATCTCTTTGTGCTTTTGAGGTCGCTCCCACTTTTCTAAGGGCTTTCTCAGTCGGTTTCTTGATAAAAATAGTTAAATAGTGCCATTGAGCAAACCCAATAGTAGGGGCTCTAGTTCATTCATTTCTTACAACTTATTCAAAGGACATGCATCGAGATGTGGCACCGTCAACCTCACATCCGCTCTTTCTCCATAAGAGTATAAGGGTGACTTATTATTAAAAACTTATTATTAAAAACTAAACTCCCACAATTTCCGTCCCAGACTGAAGAAAGGTTCACTCGTGGCAGGGATGTTTTTGAGCTAGAGATTGAGGATTATTTGAACAATGGGTCCACAATCCCTCAACTATTTTACCATCGACCGGTGAATCATGCTCAGCCCTTTTCTAGCCATAAATGTTACCCTTGGTCTTGACAAATCTATGCAATGGCAGCGAGCAAAGTGAATTTAGTTTAAACTCTTGAAGTTAAACCAGCGTCATCATCTTCAGAAGATCACGCCGTGCATTATATTTTTTACGTACCTAGTTTAAAGTGTAATTAGATAACTATACAGTTTCTTCGTTAATCTGTGTCACATGGATACATTTTGATGAAAACTATTAAAAAATTGTAAGCATACAATTAGATATACATAGATCTATGTTAGATATTTATATATGTATTAAATTGATCAAAATACGTACATATATATGTACATATATGTACATCTATACATCTAATCCATGCATACATATATTTAGTACACAAATTAACTATAAAATTGTATCAAAGTCTGACTAAAAGTCTATTAAAAATAATTTAGGTCACTTACATAATTCATCCGGCTGAATTTGTAATTTGTGCTTGCAGAGTTTCAAGTAACGATTTGCTTAGACATTAGCCTAACGCATTTTTAACTATTAGAAAGGTAAAAACTTCCTTAAAACTGAATATTAGGCCGGTCAAAAAATGGAACGTCTTAAATGCTCCAAAGCCTTAGAAACAAAGGCGGACACCGTCACACGGCATCGTGATGCGAAGGTCAAATGCAAGGTGAGCAGTTGGATTTGTAAAATTAAAACAGATTTAACACTTTCCAGCGTCCACATACCTAACTCACAATTTAAAAATGTATTGCTCAGGTATGCGAGAGAAGTTTCAAAAATCCGTCCAGCCTACGCAGCCACGTGAGGAATTTTCACACCAACCGAGAGCGACCCAGTTGTGACACGTGTCACCGAGTATTTTTCAATTCAAGCAATTTACGGGACCATATTGAATCCATCCACAGCACGGGGGAACGACCTCGTTTCCCATGCACGTTTCCCGACTGCGAGAAAACCTATCTAAAAAAGAGTCACATTTCACAACACGTAAAAACTGACCACGCCCAGATTCCGGTCCGATTTATGTGCAACCTTTGCGGCAAAGAATGTAAATCTAAGAACAATCTTAACATTCACATTGCCACCCACACGACGGAGAAGCCGTTCAGTTGCAGAAGTTGTGGGATGAGTTTCGCCCTGATGATCAAGCTAAGACGTCATGAGGTATATAAATAATCATGTTGTAGTAAAACTAGACAGTAAACAGATAGATGAAAAATTATCATTGTGCAAATTCATTTTGCAGATGATGCATTTGGAAAAATCCAGCCGATACAGGATCCAGTGTCACCTCTGTCCCGAGACCTTCTTTGGCAGGGATGGTCTACGACACCACATTCGATTTTACCATGAAAAGGAGAAGAATTATCCGTGCTCATTTTGTGCAAAGAGGTTCCAGTCAGCACCATCTTTGAAGGGTCACGTGGAGGCGATACACCCCACGAACAAAGAGAAGATTTATACCTGCGACAAATGCGAGTACACGAGTCACAATTTCGAAACACAATTTCGCACAACACGTGCGAACTCACAATGTTGCGAATTGGCGTGAGTGTTACTTTTGCAAGAAACTGTTTTCCGGCTGGCAAATATTGGTCAGACATTGTAGCCGAGTTCATTGTCTCGAGAAGTAAAAGAGTAAATATGTTTCGTTGTTCTTATAATTTTACCGTCAGATTACTTTGGTAAATAATTTTCATGCATTGATATGTTTTAGGTAGAGTTTGATTTGATTATTTTTTTGCTACTTTTGAGTTAATCCATTGAGAAATAAAATCGTGCCTTTAAAACTATGCCACCAAAATAATCTCATGATTTTCCACCTCACATTTCTATATTAGGTTGTTGAAAATATTACTCGAGATAAGCGAACTTGAATATAGGATTAAGGAGACATACATAAATAAGAATGGCAAGAGACATGCTGAGTAAAGCCTATCTAGTTTGTGTACGGTGTACGATAAATTAAGGGGGGGTGGGAGGAAAGGAGGATTGGAGAGCATGTCATCCAGTGGCCGATGGGTTGACTACAGTGGTTAACTGGTCGGTCACTCGAATTTGCCTCACAAGCTCCATCTGCAATTTGTGATGCAAAATTTAACTGCAATTACATTAGCCGAATTATTTTATTATTTAACACCAGTTATTCTTATTTTGGCGTAAAAATCTTACGAAATTGTATAATTTGAACGCCAAAATGAAAATAACAGGTGTTCAATAATAAAATAATTCAGTCATTCGGGTAATGTAACGCGGATCCAGTGGAACTATTACAAGAATTTGAAAAAACGCATTTTTTAAATTTTCAAACTCTAATTTCTTGGCGAATAATCCTTCCACCTCGAGTGTTTTGACATTTTTGGAATCATGAATTGTTGTGCCACGATAGTACGACATGTTACCCATGTCAAATTATAAGGTGGCCCTCCTACGTGACAAATTCCGCAAAAATTACAAAGAGCCAGTTCTACATAGATTGAAATGTATATTCTCGCAACTCTGGTCGTACTAATGTTGAGTATGAATTCATGAAGAGAATGACACCAAGATATCCAAATTTGATGGTCTGTAGCCCAAGAAATTGCAATGTTGGTGAAATAAAGATTTACATGAAAGCTTATGCACGGAGAGGGTGGACATAGTTCAAACCCAGCTGATAGAGCTCGCTAAAACTGTGTCAGATTACCCCTTAAACAAGTCTACTGTAAGAAATCTTATTGGTTAAGATTTTTGGCGTCCCATACATACATATGTATGTACATATACATATGAACATACGTATGTAGGCCAAAGTCAAACTACATATGTACATATGGAGATATGTGCATGGGTATATTGCAATATGTATAAGCCGAGAACAAGGCTGCCTTAATAACTATATTCATGACTTAACATCCACAGAATTCTATTTCCGTCCCAGAGTGAAGAAAGGGCTCACGTGTGGCAGGCATACTTTTGAGGTCGAGGATTACTTATTTTAACAATCGGCCGCAGTACTTTTACCACCTTTCAAAGGGTTGTTTATCTTCAACCTTTTTCTCACCATAAATTGTGCCCTTGGCTTAAACTGATCTATGCAGTGAAAACGAGCAGAGTCAGTGTAGTTCAAATTTAGATTCGTCAAGTTACACCAGAGTCATCAATTTGCATATGTAAGTAAAATCACTCCATGCAATATATATATATTTTATATACAGTATGTAGTTAAGTGTAATTAATACAACAATTTCGTGAATATATAATCTTCGTCACGCGGATACAATTTGATAAAGACTGTTAACAAATTGTAAATACATATATATTTTTTTGTATTCAGTTTACATGCACATAAATATATGAGCTATGTAAATACAGATACATATGTATGTGGGTAACCAACTAGTTGGGGCATTCATGCACAATTTTGTGAGAACTATTTGCGTTAAATTTTTAAAATTTACGTCCAGCTATCCGATAGTTTTTGTTCTCTTTCACAAACTCTTGTACATATAAATTTAAATTTGTGCATATGTCATATTCAAATACGATTATCTCAAGTTAAAATTCTAAAGTACCAATATCAACATCCTTCTCAGCATCCTCAACATCCCTCCCAAATAAATAGACGGTGAAGCTTCAAGTCTCTTTCGTACGTAGATCAAGTACAAAGTAATATTCAAAGTATTACTAAAATTGGGTTGAAAACAAATTGGGTCAAATATCTACATAAATTTGTTTAGCAATTTGTGCTGCCAGATCTCAAGGAACGATTGGCTCATCATATTTTTACCGATTAGAAATCTAAAACACTTCCTTAAAACTGAATCTAGATGAACATTAGGGCAGTCAAAAACTGGAACCTCCCAGGTGCTCCAAAATGTTAGAAACCACCCCTGTCGTGGCCAAGGATCTCGCCACACAGGTTTCCGATTCGAACGTGAAATGCAAGGTGAGAGAATAGATTTTAAAAATTAAATTAGACTTAACACTTTCCACGGTCTGCATTACTCAAGGTCTAAAAATTTTTTGGCCAGGTTTGCAGGGGAATTTTAAAAAATCCGGGCAGCCTACGCACTCACATGAAGAGTTTTCACACCAACCGAGAGCGACCCAGTTGTCCCACGTGTCATCGGGTGTTCCTCAATTCAAGCAATTTACGGGAACATATTGATGCCATTCACAGTACGAAGGAACGACCACGTTTCCCATGCACGGTTCCCGGCTGTGAGAAAACCTACCTAAACCAGCGCTACATTTCACAACACGTAAAACTTTACCACACCCAGAATACGGCCCGATTTGTCTGCAAACTTTGCGGCAAAGTATGTAAATTTAAGACCAATCTTAACTCTCACATTGCCACCCACACGACGGAGAAGCCGTACAGTTGTGCAACTTGTGGGAAGAGTTTCGCCCAGAAGTTAAAGCTACGACGTCACGAGGTAAATAAATCACGAGATAAGCATGCTCTGATAAAGTTAATGAAAAATCACCAATTCATTTCACAGATGATGCATTTGGAAAAATCTGCCCGAGACATATCAAAGTGTTCCGTCTGTCCTCGGACCTTCTTAACTGCACGTGGTCTACAATTGCACGTCCGGTTTGTGCATGAAAATGAGAGGAATTATTCGTGCTCATTTTGTGCCAAGAGGTTCACGACGGCACCAGCTTTGAAGCGTCACGTGGAGGCGATACACCCCGCAAACAAGAAGAAGATTTATACCTGCGACGAATGCGAGTACAGGAGCCACTCAAAACACAATTTTGATCGACACGTGCGAACACACATTGTTGCGAATTGGCGTGAGTGTTACTTTTGCAAGAAGCTGTTTTCCGGCTGGCAAATATTGGTCCGACACTGCAGTAGGATGCATTGCCTCGAGAAGTAAAATAAGAGTAAATATTTTTCATTGTGCTCATAATTGAATTCTCGATTTACTGTTGTAATTTTCATGCGCAAGCGATGTTTTTCATGACTCTTTTGTTAGTTACCAAAACGTCACCAAAATGATTTTAAAGTAAGCGTAGTTACGTCACCGATTTCACAGTGGGTGTGCAAACCATAAAGGACCGAATTTATTTCGGCAACTTTTGATGATTTTATTTAACACTAAGCATTTACAAAAGGCGTTAGGACATGGTTTTGACGAATTCGCGGGTGAATATCTCTGGCAGGGAGTTGAATTTTGAACTGATTTTTGGTCAGTTGCAAGATAATACTCTCAAAAAGATATATTTAAAATTTTAGTCCGATAGCTTTATAAATGCCCCCTCCAGTGCCCCCAGAGTTGGAAGGAGCCAAAAAAACACTTTCCAAACTGATTTACTCATATAGCATGATAACCTAAGAGGTCAGAGGTGAATGATTGTTAATATTACAACTCTAGATAATCATTGCATGTAATAATAAAAGAATCTACATGAATTACATAACGTTGGGCCTCCATCGTCGCTGATAATTTTTCATGAAAAGTGGTAAATCGGACCGTGCACAGGAAAATTGACCTGCTGACCTTGAAAGCGGACCCACTCGGTCAAATGAAGGTTGAGGGCAAAGCTATAAGTGTCCAAAGTAATATTAAATTAAACAGTGAAGATTTTGTGTAAACAGTTTTGGAGAACGACCCTAGCTAATCAGCTGACGGGGAATAGTAAAAAACTCGTGAACTAATTTGGGAAAATAATCGTCAAATTTTGTTGAAAACAAATTTTAATAACTTTTTTGTGCCCCCTACTGCAGAACTATTTTATCTACAAGGTACATGTGACAAAATAATAAAATTATTGCGTTTTGGTTAGTTAAATTATTTCTGAAGTTCAACATCGAAAACGACGGGAACTTTTCCAAAAATTTTATAAGGTCTGATGAAAACTCAGCCCGTGTGGTATAACCACTTATCAAAATTTTGTCAAAAGTACTTATAGTGCAATATATTATATGCACCTTGGATAAAAACCACGTTAGAGATTTTTAGCATCAAAGTCGTAAAATGTGGGGGCCTTAAAAGTCGAGGAGTTGCGTTCACGAGAGCATTCCATTAGGACAAGTATGAAGCTAGACTACAAGAGGGACTTAAAAGATAAGCATGATACAAAAGTGGTTTTATATAGTGAAAAGCATGCTAAGTCCCTTGATAATAGTTGCAAAGACGATTTTTGCACCAGGACCTCAGAAAAAAATATTTTGTTCAACGCCATTTTATAAGAACGCTGGTTTGGAAAACTAAAAACGGACACCTCTCCAAATTTGACCTTGCCTCATTTCGCAGAGTACACAAAATCGGAAGCCAGATATGCTTATCTATAGTTTAAGACATGGGCTTTCACATAAAAAATGTTAGAAATCTCTACAACTAAAAACCATCCTGCAATTAAGGTATGAATTCGTCAAAACCATGTCCTAACGCCTTTTGTATTTATGCATATTAGTAAAAATTATCTGCAGTTCATTATAATAATATTAAGTTATTGATTCATACATTTTGATAGTTTAGCAAGGTCCAAGTGGTTTTCACTGATCTTGACCGGACTTAGTTTTTAATTGTTCATGCTCAGAAATAAGCGGACCCGTATTTTTTCGTTTTCTAAAATGGACATGTTTTCGCCCGTGGCGGAATTTAAAAAATCAGCCCAAATCAGGATTTTTAAAACGCTGTAACTGTAACTGCATAAGACCCCACCCACTCCGATGATCCCCACTGGTCAACCATTTAACCGATTTCGCCCATCTTCGAACTCGTTTCCTAACTTTGTCCAATATACATATGGTAAAAATTTCAAGTCAATCGGTTCAGCCGTTTTGGCTCTATCGTGCCGGACAGACGGACGGACGGACGGACACGACGGTTCTATAAGCCCTGACTCGGGCTAAAAATTCAATTTAAAAAACTTTTAATTTTCAAAAAATTTTCGTTTTTGCGTCTTTAAAAATTCATTTTTTTTAAATTCCGCCACGGGCGAAAACATGCCTATTCTTGAAAACGCCAAAATACGGGTCCGCTTATTTCTGAGCGTGAACAATTTAAAATTAGTCTTACAATGCATTGCAGCGAACTACAATTGTAGTTTTTGCAGATATATAATTTTTGGTAATGTGCATAAATAAATGATCCGTATTAAAATTTTGTAAAATAAAATTTTGACTTGTATGCATGTTTGTATTTGGTCTTCTTGAAAATTTTTCCGCAGTACACAAATGTGTGTAGTTGGTCCCCAACGTAACGGGGAATTAGTACACAAATATGTGTACTTGTCCTTTACGGAAAGAAAAAAAACTACACAAATATGTGTAGTTGGTCCCCAACGTAACTACAAAATAGTACACAAATGTGTGTACTTGGTCCTTAACGGAAACCAAAAAAGTACACATATTTGTGTACTTGGTCCCCAAGGGAAAGCAAAAAAACTACACAAATATGTGTAGTTGGTCCTTAACGGGTTAAACTTAATCTTGTAAATTCATTTCTGAGTAACGCAGGACTCGATGACGCTTCACAAAATGGTCAAAATATTTCAATACATCTTTAATCATTTCTAGCCTCTGGGAATTTATTTTAAAAGTCTGGAGAACACATTTTAAGCCATGCAGTAAGTTGATTAATAGAAAAGTTTTTAAGCCAGTTTCTACGAATTCCAATTGTTCTGAAGGTTTCTTAAACCTGAGATCTACACTTTCAAAAACTGACAAAATCTCAAAATCTGGCATGTAAATAGTTCTAAACAATTTACAATGAGGGTATTCATTATTTCTTCGTATCCTTAGTATTCTTCATATCGTAAAATAACTTACGACGCTTACGAGATTTTGTAAGCGCCGTAAGATTTTGTCATCGAAAATCGCGTTACTACGCTTACGATTTTTACGAAACTCGACCCGTTGTTTTTTCTTCGTAAACTATTTTACGATACTACGGATACGAAGAAATAATGAATACCCTCAATGATTGACAAAAATCTGTAGTGAACTGGGTCAGGAGGAAAAGGCACAGAAAATTTACTTCAAAATTTAATTTTGCCCTCAATACTTTTCATCAAAAGGGACATTCAACCCAATGATGGGTGGCGTATGATTCCCTATTATATTATAACCCTTAATCAATTTTCCAATGCGCTCCATATATGTGAGTTGTCTATCAAAAAATAAAATCCTCAAAAATGTCATCCCTTGATTTGCTTGGAGAAATTTAGTCCAAAAATGGGAAAAATTCCCCTTTTCTACAGAAATCATCAACCAATGCCAACCATGACGCGGAAGTTGGCCTCTTGTACGCTGTAGAATCCAGGATACATGTACTACTCAAAAATAATGGTTGGACCCTTTAAGCGGTGGTTGTTCCAAAATATGATGCAAAAGTTTTCAAAAAGCGTTTTTTTCTCATTTTTGTGACTTTCACACACCGCATGGATATGACCACAACAAACAACCCACACCCCTTTCAGTAACGACTAAGGGTTTAAATTAAAGATAATCGCATGTTCTAAAACCCCTGAAATAATAAAGGTATACAAAAAATGATTACTCGTATTCCCGAGCATTTTTTTCGAGTGAAACGAGTGCGTACTTTTGGCAGGGTCTGTTTGTCTCTTTTTTAGTTGGCCATTTCCACATCAGATATCAGTTTTGATGATTGAGCATTGTTTCTGGATTAGAATTTCATTGGCTTTCCAATGAAGGAAACCAGAAATTGATAAATGGAAAATTACAATATTTACGGCGTATTTCACTATTGACACTTGAGTGTTTCCGACTATGTATTAATTTTTGACTGTATTTTTTATGTATGTAACTCGCTTGAGTGAGACGCGCCCTACTAAAACTTAAATTTTGTGACAAAATGCACATGTTTCTGAATTTGAATCACATTCAAATTTGCTCACATTCACACATAAGGCCTACTTACGTCAAATTAATTCGAATTGAGCTGGAGTATTGCAATGGATAATTTTAGAAATACATTTTCAATTGAAACCAATAATGCATTGCACGCAGTCACAAAATATTACGTATCTAAATACACACATATCACGTATGTATTTACACATGCAATTTTATGCAAATCCGCCCTGCACTACGGTTCTTGACCCATATGTTTATTGTATCTTACATGAACTTTATAATACCCCACCCTGCACCGATTTCTCGTGATCTTTCTATTTAAATTATTGGTTATTTTGGTCCTAAGTGAAAGGGATTTACGTTATTTACTGTGGGAACCTTTTTTCCGTCAGTTACATCCCTCGTGGCTGAAAAATTCAACTTTATCACAAAACCTCATTTTCATACAAAATTTTCGTCTGAGCACGTCAACCACATACTTAAATAACTGTCCAAACTATAAACGGGTAATATGTAAACACATTTGACCCATGTGTATTTAACGTCGAATTAACTAGTTCGAAAATATATGTATTTGCAGTTTAAATTACTACAACTGTTTAGATATTTTTAAATTGAAAATACAAATACATTTTTGTACAGTGACCAAGAAAATTTGATCATTTACTTACACACATCCACTTCAATTTTGGATTTTGGAAGCTGCATACCCAGAACCCAAATTAAAGATTCTAAGCCTGAGATGAATCGGGAATGTCCAAAATGTTCAAAAACCTTCAAACGTAAGGACACTTTGATCGGCATCTCGTCACGCATAACCCCGACGCGAAGGTGAAATGTGAGGTGAGCAATTAAATTTATCTAAAACGCTATACTAATTTCACAAGGTATCTAAATAAGTATTCATTATCGATTATAATTCTCAAATTCGCTAATCTTGACTATGTAGCCTTATATAAGTAATTTAAATTTATTGATCAGATTTGCGGAAAAATCTTAAAAAATCCTCTCAGCCTACACGCTCACTTGAGGAGTATTCACACCACGCGTGAACGACCCAGTTGTGCCACGTGTCATCGCGTCTTCTTCAACTCGGTCAACTTACGGGAACACATCAAAGTTGTCCACAGCACGAAGGAACGACCTCGGCTCCCGTGTACGTTTTCTGGGTGTGAGAAAACCTTCCTATACAAGGCAGACGTTTCGAGACACGTAAAAACTAAACATGCCGATAATCCGGTCCGATTTCCGTGCACGTTTTGTGGAAAGGACTTCAAAACCAGGGTTGAACTTGAGGATAACATTTTCACCCACACGACCGAGAAGCCCTACAATTGTGCCACTTGTGGGAGGAGTTTCTCCAAAAAATCGAACATGAAAAGTCACGAGGTAAATAAACATGTTGTGGGAAAATTTGGGTGGCAAATTATCAGTGTGCATAATCATTTTAAAGGAGACGCATTTGGAAAAATCTACTCGAGAAGTGTCAAAGTGTCACCTCTGTCCTCAGACCTTCACAAGTCAACGTGCGCTACAATGGCACATCCGAACTGTGCATGAAAATGAGAGGAATTATTCGTGCTCATTTTGTGCCAAGAGGTTCACGACGGCACCATCTTTGAAGAGTCACGTGGAGGCGAGACACCCCACGAACAAGGAGAAGATTCATTCCTGTGACAAATGCGAGTACAAGGGTTACTCGAAAGTGAATTTAGCTCAGCACGTGAGGCGTCACAATGCTAAGAAGAAAAACGTGTGCTACTTTTGCAAGAAGGCGTTCATCACGTTCAATGATTTGGTCAGACACTGCAGTCGGGTTCATTGTCTCGAAAAGTAAAAGAGCAAATATGTTTTAATGGGCGTATGCATAAAGACAAGTTATCTTTATGCATAAGGTTATCTTAGATAAACTTCTTGGTTAATATATTTTAGTAATTTTTATGGGCTGCACAAATGACTTTAGGATTGGGTTTGATTAAATATTATTGATCTTTTTCAATTGTAAAATTTTCCACACACTCGTATCTTTGTATCTTTCTTAATACTCGGAATTGGGTTTAATAAGTAATATATTTACATGTGTGTTCGTAAATATGTCATGAGTTGAGGACGCGGAATAAAGGAATTTTTATAGAGAAAGTAGCTTTTTCATTGCATTTTATGGAATTGCTCCAACAATTTAATTTTATGTCAAGCTATGTATAAACACTGTCTCTGTTTATGTACGTAATTGTGATTGAACTTTTCCTTGACTTCATACTTCCGTGCGACTAAAATTTGGACTTATCTATGCATGCAAATTTTTTTCATCCATTTCATGACAGTGGGTACATTTGATCCTTAATTTTGATTAGTTTGGAACACATTAGGTATTACTTTTGTGGAGGGGTTATTGTTGTTCACTTTTAAAGTAGAAATACCTTTTTCCCCTCCAGTTTAAAACGGATTTTTAATAAATGGCTTACAGGGGACACTCACGACCTGTCGTTAGAGTCCAGGGAACCCACCATGTTTTTTTAGAATCTACTTGGACCCAAGATGAAGGATCCATTCATATTTCAATGTTAAACTCATATTTGGCGCCATGTCAAAATAAAATGGTGCCCACTTTAAAAATATGTCACGAAAAATCTCATTGTTTTCCACTGCACATTTCTGCTAGGTTATTGAAAATATTACTCGAGATAAGCGAACTTGAATATAGGATTAAGGAGACATACATAAATAAGAATGGCAAGAGACATGCTGAGAAAAGCCTAGCTTAGTTTACATATGTACGGTGTACGATAAATTAAACAAGTCTACTGTAAGATATCTTATTGGTAAAGATTTTTGGCGTCCCATACACACATACATACATGTGTATGTACATATGCATACATACTTATGTATGTAGACCAAGCTCAAACTACATATGGAGATATGTGCATGGGTATATTGCAATATGTAGAATACGAGAAAAAGGCTGGCTTAATAACTATCGTCATAATTTAACATCCAAAGAATTCTAGATATTTCCGTGCCAGGGTGAAGAAAGGGCTCACTCATGGCAGGCATAGTTTTAAGGTCAAGGATTACTTATTTTAACAATCGGCTGCAATACTTTTACCACCTTTCAAAGGGTTATTTATCTTCAACCCTTTTCTCACCATAAATTCTGCCCTTTGTCTTAAACTGATCTAGTCAAAACGAGCAGAGTCAATTTAGTTCAATTTCGTCAAGTTGCACCAGAGTCATCAACTTGCATATGTAAGTAAAATCCAGAGACTGGTCAATCCCGGATTAAGGATTGGGGATTGAGATTAGGATTGGGGATTAATTAATCCTCAATCTCAATCTTTAATCCCAAGTTCTAGAATTTTAATCCTTAATCCCTAATCCCCAATCCCTCTATGCCAAGTTTAATCCTAAAGTGGGATTAGAATGGGATTAAAATGGGATTAAATTTGCAATGAATGAAAAATCGAAAAGCTAACTTCTCTTAAGATCGCTCCCTTTTCAAGAATTGATTGCATTTCGTTCATTTTTATCACATATTTAAAAATACTGCACATCATTTTGCAAAACTACTCATAACGTGGTATCCTCAATGCACAATTTTCAACATTGGTGTGAGCAATGTCAGTGCACTGCTCAAATTCTGGTCAAAGTTTTCCGTTAAAAATAGTACCTAGAGTAAAATTAGCATTTTTCCCGTATATAATTTTTAGTGCAAAAAATATTCAATTGCCATTTAAAAATTTTATTCCTAAACGATCTAATTTTACATGTGAAATGTTCAAAATATTTCTTGGTCCGAAGTTCAGATTCATTTAATTAATTTAAAAATCTGGCATAATGAAATTTAATGCAACAATTAATCCAGGACTAAATTAATTCCCAATCCCAGAAAACTACCCAAAATTTAATCCCGAATTAATCCCAATCCCACATTGAATTCAATCCCTAATCCCAATCCTTAATCCCACAATTTTAAAATTAATCCCTAATCCTCAATCTCAATCCCAAGATTTTAAAATTTAATCCTCAATCCTTAATCCCGATATCTTTAATCCGCCAGTCTCTGGTAAAATCACTCCATGCAGTTTTTATATACATAGTTTAAAGTGTAAATAATACGACAATTTCATGAATATCTTCGTCACGCGTATACAATTCGATGAGGACTGTCGTGCAAAATTGTAGAATCAGTTAAAAACTGAGAAAAGCTGACAACGGAAGAAAGTGAAATATCGAAACATTTCGAGTTATCTCAAATCCATTCATCGAGTCCCTCAATAACTCCATCTCGACGAATCGAGTCAATCAATAATTCAAACCTTGTTTGAAACAATATCTCCAAAATGACGAATTTAGTAAACGTTCCAGTACGATTCGAACTGGACTCCACGCAAATGTTTCGAATCGAATTAATTAGCAACAGTAAATGCACTTTTCTCAAAAACCACAAATGATATTCAAGTGACTCGTTTTGCAATTGGTAGATAAATTAAGAGGCTAGATTATATCCTAAGACCAGTTGCGAAAAAAATTCTAAATGGGGCAAAACAAGATTTTCCCGCGGCAATTAAAAATCAAAGTGGGAACAATTATTTTGTATTTTTGATTATCCACTGAAAACTTACTTGTCTTGAGTTGATAAGCACTTTTTTAATTTTATCTAGCTATAAGATGTATTTTTCTTTATTTCTTCGTAACTCCGACATTTAACAAATAGCTCTGACCAAGCCGAAAGACTCGTCATATGACAACTGCACGTGGGTCATTAAATATTTTGCGGGGGATGATATCGACAGCCCAAAAGTTCGAAACTGCACAAAATACCTTCCAAAATAGTGCAGTATACAATTGCAAACAATAAATCCACCGGGTTGATTTAAATATACTTGGGCGAGACCGAAATCCAATATTATCCACCACGATGGCGTGCGCCGTTGTCAAAAAAATCAAGGTCAACCCGAAGTTTTCGACTTCACATATCGAAATTCAACATGGAAGTCAAACTGGCACCTCAGCTGATCGGAGAAAGCCAACAAGAGTGGCTGAAAAAAATTTTCCGAACTAATAAGAAGGCCCCCATATCAATAGGCAACATTAACTTACGGCGTGCGTTTTCTATGGGGCCCGTCAACAAAGACCAACGAGTTACGAAGAAATAAAGAAAAATACATCTTATAGCTAGATAAAATTTAAAAAAAGTGCTTATCAACTCAAGACAAGTAAGTTTTCAGTGGATAATCAAAAATCAGTAATACTAATAGCCCCGAGTTCTCTGTGTGTGTGTGTGTGTGTATGTGTGTGTGCTTTTTTGAACTGAGCGCGTCACTCAATGACAGTCTCACGTTACCCATGCTTCCATGTTATCAATTAACACATACTGACAGATAACCCGTACATTACGCCACGTGTCGTTACCTTACCTTACGGTTGTGACCTGACCACACCCCCTGAGTTATGCCCCGTGACCTGACCACACCCCCTGAGTTATGTCCCGTGACCTGACCACACCCCCTGAGTTATGTCCCGTGACCTGACCACACCCCCTGAGTTATGCCCCGTGACCTGACCACACCCCCTGAGTTATGCCCCGTGGCCTGACCACACCCCCTGAATTATGCCCCGTGACCTGACCACACCCCCTGAGTTATGCCCCGTGGCCTGACCACACCCCCTGAATTATGCCCCGTGACCTGACCACACCCCCTGAGTTATGCCCCGTGACCTGACCACACCCCCTGAATTATGCCGTGTCGCGTGACCTGACCAAACCTCCTGGATTATGCCACGGGTCGCGTTTCCTTACCACACCCTCTGAATCATGAAGGCGTCAATTAAAAAACAACGCATTTTAATATGTATGAATAACACATTATTTGAAAACGTTTTTATGACGTATTCATGCCAACCACAAATGCTAATGTTTGAAGTTACCGCTTCGGATTGGTAGTCTCACAAGGCCCTGACTATTAAATTCTCTGTCTTAAGATTTATTAAGTCTTGAGTATTTTGTTTTGACTGGTGAAATAGTTTTAGAAGTATTAATGTATTTAATGCTATTAATTGAAAAAATTAATTTATGACAAATTCAAGTTTGGTTTTAATTTTTCAATAGTGCTTTATTCAATAAAATTATTTCATTAAGAAAGTTATGCATTGTAAGTAAGGAACTTTAAAATAAACACAAACTTGGATACTTAAATAACTAAAACAAAAAATATGTTTGAAAATTTTTAAACTCAGCTCAGAATTAATTAAACTTAAGAATAATAACTTAAAAAGCTCCTTTAAGATTTTATTATTTTACTAATTTGCCACTTCCTTCCTTCATTTCTTCGTCGCCATCATCCCGTAGAAGAGATTCCTCCAACATCTTGGCGGCGGCAACCTGTTCAGCTTCAGCTGCGGCCTCCTCCTCCATTTTCTTCTGTTCTTCCTCTGCCTTCTTCATTTCTTTCCACAGCAAGAAATCAGGGTCCAGATGTTGCTTCTTTAAAGCTTCATTTTCCTCTTTAAGTCGCTTGGCTTCAAGTTGCTGCTTCTTGAATTCAATTTGTTCAAAACGACGTTTTCGGGATAGTGCATCTCGATTAACTGTTCCACAGGATTGGCAGTATGGAAAATCGCCTGTAATGAAATTACAAATATAAGGAGACAATGACAAATAGTTTGCTAACCGGTGAATTTAATCCAACTTTTTAATATTCAGTAACATAAAGTTTAACATACCATGAGTAAAGCTGTCACATTTGCTGACGGAATCAAATTGGTTGTTCCTGAAGATCAAGGCTTGCTTGCAATTTTTGTGCGGACACACAGCTGAAAGAAATAAAATTTTTAACGTTAACATAATGATTATAGACATTTATTTTCTAAATATGAAACTTAATTATCAGATAATTAAATACTAGACTAAAAAAAGAATGTTAGATGATTAGTGAAATATTATTACCAGGTTTGTCGATTGCCTGACCCCGAATCACAAGTCCACAATGAACACAAAATCGATCATTCGGCGCCTTTAAAAGTCGTGTAGGGGACATGTCCCAACCAGCGGCGACAGCGTTTGGAGAAAATTCGGAAGCGCCTCTATAAGCCATTATTTTAAATAAATTGAAAACTCCGTAAAATTTACAAAAGGTAACTGCAAAAATTGTGCAGCCGGGATGACAGTTTACCAAGGACTGATGACCATAAAACTGCTACTTGCCTTTTTATTGTCTCAGTACGACGTAGGAAAAACGTTTCAAACAGGATAGTAATGTTGGTAATTTATCATTGCAAGATAGGAAAATAGGTTTGACCTATCTTACAATGTTCATTATACATTACAGGATAGGGCTGGTAGTGACAACCAAGTTTAAAGTTGTGTGATTGGCTATCCGTTATACGTGGACTCTACGTATAACGGCCGACATTTGTATCTGATTATCACTAGGTGGCAGCCGGGTCACAACGTTTGACAACGTTTTTGCCTATCCAGTAATGTATATGGACAATTTAACTACAAGGCATGATATTCCTGTTGACAGTTTGCAAAAACGTTTTTAGGGAAACGTTCAACGTTGTTAAGGGACGCTACTGCACAGGAATTTTAACATGGTTGAGATAGGCGACTTCACACCCTTCCATCCCACCCTTTGTATTTCCTGGACATTCCGTTAACGTAAAGTTGAATTAATAAAAGTGGTAGCAGCAAGATACTGTTCATCAGTTCGCCGGGTACTATCGACAAATGCGGTTGCCCAAATTGCACTATCCTTGCAAATTTATTTTGTGTTGAATATTTGAACGCAATAATTAAAAAAGAACTTAACTTCATTATTAGAATTTCCAGTTTATTATAAATTCATATTTGGTAATTTAGCTGAAGATTTGTTTGAATATTGTTTGGAAAGATTATCTATGGAAACTTTATCTTTAAAAATGTATTTTTTTATTTTGTTCATAGACATCCAAGCCGTAAATTCTGCTGTGCAATTCAGGCAGGTTACAGTCCTAAGTCGACTTATTTTCTGCCCTAAGTTGGCACTACCCATTCAGCATATTTATTGTTTAGTGATCCATTCGTAGACACATTCTGAGCCCTAAGTGGCAAATACTTGAGCCATTTTTGGCAACTTTGAGCCTAAGTTGGCATTTATAGAGGATGGTCCGGAAAAAGCAACGTTTGGATTGCAGAGATGATTTTGAATTAACATCTGATTCGGAAACTGAGACTCCTATGATGTTACGGCGAAGGCCAGGAGAGACTGAGTCGCAAGCATCACTTCGGAGAGAAGCTAATGCCCGACGAATCTCTGATAGACGATTGACTGAGACCGAAGAGGAAAGATCGGCACGTTGCTTGACTAATGCGCAACGGACTTATGAAAGGAGGTTGGGAGAGACAGAAGCGGAAAGGTCAGCACGCTGTTTGTCGAATGCGCAACGAAATTCTGTAAGGAGATTGGCAGAAACCGACGAGGAAAAGTCGACACGTTGCTTAGCGAATGCTCAACGAACTTCTGAAAGGCGATTGGGAGAAACCGACGAAGAAAGGTCAGCACGCTGCTTAGCGAATGCTCAAAGAACTTCTAAAAGGCGATTGGGAGAAACCGACGAAGAAAGGTCAGCGCGCTGCTTATCGAATGCTCAACGAACTTTTGAAAGGCGATTGGCAGAACCCGACGAGGAAAGGTTGGCCCGTTGCTTAGTAAATGCACAACGAATTTCTGAAGTGAGATTGGCAGAAACCGAACAAGAGACAATTCGACGACGAATTGAAGATAATAAACGAAATTTCGCTCGACGCCAACTTGAAACTGCCATAGACAGAGAGGAGAGATTACAACAAGTGCGCACAAATCGTGCCAATACTTCATATCGTATGCTACAGATGACAGTAAGATTGGCCATAGTTGATAATTTAGAGGAAAGTATGGTGGAGTTACACACTATGGGGGAAATGAATGTCCTCTGTGAATTTTGCAATGCCAAACATTTTGCTAATGAAAGACCAACTGATAAAAAGTTTACCGTGTGTTGCAACAAAGGAAAGGTTAAAATTCCTACGTTCGCAACGCATGAGTACATAAAACGACTTCTAATAGGGCAGGATCCTGATTCCAAAAATTTCATGGAAAATATAAGATCCTACAATAATGCATTTGCATTTGCATCTGTTGGAGCACAAATTAAAGCTCCACCTGGATACGGTCCGTACTGTTATCGAATCCATGGTCAGATCTATCACAGAACCGGGACTTTGCACCCCGATGATGGCGAACCACGAAAGTACGCCCAATTGTATATACTGGATCCCGATGAGGCAAACCGACGAAGATTGAACGAGCCATCCAATGTTGCCTGCAAAAATCATGTGATGTCTAACCTGTATGATATTATGAAAGATAATCCGTTTGCCAGAGCATACAAAATGCTTCATGAATTCGAAAAGGAGGAGAAGATTAGAATGCAAAGCGAAGAATATTTGGCCAAAGAAGTTACAATGGCTATTGTTAATGACCGAAATCTTGACAAACGTCGATACAATATTCAGACATGTAATGAAGTTGCAATAATTTTCAGCAATACCGATGGCGAGCCACCACTTGAAAGAGATTTACTTATTCATTTAAAATCAACCGGCGATGATTCCCCAAAGACAAAACGAATTAGTATTTTAAATAAAAACCTTGATGCTCTGACCTATCCTATTCTATACCCATCTGGGGAGCAAGGATGGGGAGAGGACTTAGCTCTATCTGTGCCGTCTAACTCAGCAAAAATTAATACAAACTGTAGAAAACGCGTAACGCTAAAAATGTATTACTCATACCTATTTTCAATTCGTGAAACATTTAATCCATTTTTAAGTGCCGGAAAGCTAACTCAACAGTACTTTGTCGATGCATATGTTAAAGCCGAAGCAAATGACCTTAATTTTGTCAGGCAAAATCAAAGCAAACTTAGAGCAAGTAACTATGACGCATTGGTTGACTTTATAGACTCTGCCGCAGAACAAGATGGATTGGTTCCCAGAAGACCAATAATTTTACCTTCGACTTTTCAAGGTAGCCGAAGAAATATGAATCAAAACTATCAAGATGCGATGTCAATCGTAAGAAAATTTGGCAAACCAGACTTATTTATTACGATGACGTGCAACCCCAAATGGATAGAAATTACTACCAATTTGAAAGATGGACAAAAACCTGAAAACAGACCGGATTTAGTAACAAGGGTATTTAATATTAAATTGAAATCAATGCTTGAGGATTTAACAAAAAAATGTGTCCTTGGACACGTACTTGCAAAAGTACATGTAATTGAATTTCAAAAACGCGGTCTCCCTCATGCTCATATTCTTATAATCCTAAAAGATAGTGATAAGCCAAAAACAGTCGAACTCATAGATAAGATTGTATGTGCCGAAATACCTAATAAAGAAACACATCCAAGGTTATATGATGTTGTTACAACAAATATGATTCACGGCCCGTGTGATAATATTAATTCAAAATCACCATGTCTGGTGGCCGGGAAATGTTCAAAAGGTTTTCCGAAAGCATTTCAGCATGAAACTTTAGCTAACGTTAACGGATATCCGTTTTACCGGCGACGCAATTTAGTACCAGTTGTGACTAATAAAAATATTGAAATTGACAATAGATGGGTAGTTCCATATAACCCATACTTAAGCTTAAAATACAATTGTCATATCAACGTTGAAATTTGCGCATCTATTAGAAGCGTAAAGTATTTATTCAAATACGCTTACAAGGGTCACGATTGTGCAAAAGTTGAATTACGAATAGATGAGATTAAGACACATGTGGATTCAAGATATGTCAGTCCTCCTGAAGCCGCCTGGAGAATTTTCAGATGCCCTATGCAAGATAGAACCCATTCTATATCGAGATTAAAGGTTGAATTACCGGAGCAAAAACAAGTGACATTCGATCCAAATAGAATCCAAGAAGCAATCCAAAAAGCAGAAAATACACACTCCACGTTAACTGCATACTTCGAGCTAAACACCCATGATCCGGAAGCCAGGCAATACAAGTATGCAGAAATTCCAGAGTATTATGTATTTAATGCAAAAAACAAATGGATTCGTCGTAAAGATGGACACACTGACAAAGTTATAGGACGTCTGTATTCTGTGAGTATGACAGACGGTGAGAGATATTTTTTGAGGTTACTGTTACTTCATGTAGCAGGACCAACAAGTTATAACGACCTTCTTAAATATCAAGGACATGTTTACAATACCTTTTATGAAGCGGCTAAGGCTCGAGGATTGATTTTTGATCAAACAGTCTGGAATGATACATTAAACGATGCTGCTCATGCATCAATGCCACGTCAACTTCGAGAACTTTTTGCATATATTTGTGTATTTGGAGAGACCTCCGACATGACAGGCTTATGGATTGAACATAAAGAAAATCTTACTGAGGATTTTGTAAGAGTTCACGGTCATCCACCTGACGCAGAGTGTAACATGTGTGAGTCATATGCACTTAGAGATATTTCAGAAACACTTATTACACACGGAAAAAAGTGTTCTGATTACAATCTAAGAGACCCCCCCCTCATATCTACCACTGAATTTAAATGATTTTGTAGATATTGAGATAGAACGTGGCATCGCAGAAGATCTTAAATCAACATTGACAGAAGAACAACTGAATGCATTTGAGGCAATAGAACACTCAATGAACTCTGACGACCCTGTTGAGAAATGTTTCTTCCTTGACGGCCCTGGTGGAAGTGGGAAAACTTACCTATATAAAACACTTTTAAGCTACATTAGGGGTAAAGGTGAGATAGCATTACCTGTTGCATCAACAGGAATCGCGGCTAATTTACTAAAGGGAGGACGGACTTACCATTCCCAATACAAACTGCCACTTAATTTAAATGAAACATCTGTTTCATCAATAGAGATGACTACAAATGATGCGAAGTTAATTCGGACCGCAAAGCTACTGATTTGGGATGAGTCAACAATGGCATCAGTTCATGCTTTGCATTGCATTGATAGACTGCTGAAAGAAATTATGGGAAATGATCTTCCATTTGGAGGAAAAGTTTTACTCCTCGGAGGTGATTTTAGGCAAACATTGCCAATAATCCCACACGGTGATGCTGTCGCAATTGTCCAGGCAAGCATAAAATTTAGCCACCTTTGGAGGAAATTTCAAATTTTGAAATTAAACAATAATGTCAGATCGCTTGATAAGGAATACAGTGATTGGCTAATTAAACTTGGTAACGGGGAATTGACAAATATAGATGGATTACATGATAGTTTAATAGAAATTCCAGAAGCAATGTTGGCGTCCGAGAACATTATTAAAGATATTTTTGGTGATTCTCTAACTCTTGAAAATGTAGAGCAATTTTCAAAAATGGCGATTTTATGCCCGACTAATGCAGAAGTTGATAAAATAAACGAGCAAGTATTGAACATTTTGCAAGGAGAATGTAAGACATATTTAAGTACAGACTCAATTATGACAGATGAAGATTCTGATAAAGATGATTACCCTACGGAATTTCTGAATACTTTAAATCCGTCTGGATCAGCATCACATGAATTAAAATTGAAAGTTGGTTCCCTGATAATGCTGCTAAGAAATTTGAATACAAAACGTGGATTGTGCAATGGAACACGATTAGTTGTTGCTGAACTAAAGCCAAACTTAATTATTGCCAAGGTAATTACAGGATCCGCTAAAGGAAACATTGTCTTTATCCCTAGAATTGATCTTATAACAGATTCTGATCTTCCATTTCGCCTAAGAAGACGACAATTCCCAATTAAGCTGGCATTTGCCATGACTATTAATAAGTCCCAGGGTCAAACTTTGGACAAGGTTGGAATCTATTTGGCCACTCCAGTGTTCAGTCACGGGCAACTTTACGTTGCATTTTCAAGAGTTAGGCGATCATGTGACGTAAAAGTTTATGTACGAAATACGGCTGAACATGGAAAATTATTAGAAAATTCCAATAAGGTATTCACGAGGAATGTTGTCTTTAAGGACATACTCCAGAAATAAAACGAAATGATACTCAAAATAAATTATAATAGCACAACAACTGGGCAATGATTGTAAGACTGAGCCCGTTGTGTCAAAAAAACAAATTCTACATACAATATGTCATTTTAACCTTCTTCAATCTTAGTTAGTGATACACGCATAATTCGTATACAAGTGTTTCGAAAAACAACATGACCTCCCTTATATTGAGTCGTCGCTGTAATATTAAGGTTGGACATCCTATGAGAACATCAGGAAACTATTAAGTTTGTTACTTGGATGAATTTGTGACAAAAATGTAATAATCTTTGCTAACAAATAACTATAAAGTTTTATACCGTTTATGTCGTAATTGTCTATCGGTAACATGACATTGGGTACCTGTATTTAATCACCAGAGATGTACTACCTTGCTAATGAGTTGTATGAAATGTGCAAGTTTACATAAATTTGTTCACCGAGTTACACTGAGAAGATTTGAGAAAAAATGACAGTTTGATAATTTATTGGAATTTTGATATTTTATTGTATAAAAATATGTATAAAAGTATAAAATAAACATGTGCGTGGTACACTGTGCATCTATTTTATGAACAACTGGACTTAATGGGGATGGAACTTGCCCAAGTTTTACATATAGAAATTTAAAAAAATTATTAATTAAAAAGGGATGGGATTCTTTTTGTGGTTCATAAAATGGATGCACATTGTTTGTGGCCTCGACTGCAAAAGGGTATAAATCAGAAGAGGAGGGCCCTCCCTGTGCCCACCGACCATGCATTTAACGGGACGGACCTTTGAAATTATTGGGGGTAAAATTAAAAATTAAGAGGGATCGAAAAGATTAAATGCATAATCGGTGAGCTACCCTTTTCCCACAAAAATACTAACCTATCCTTAAATACGTTGCCTTAAATTATAACTAAAAACTATTATAATAATTAACACCCTACTTCCACCCACGCACACGTACTAATAATAATGATAAACTAATTTACATGTTTTTGACTTGAACTTAACTAATTTGGTACTAAAGGATAACAATTAAAAATTTTGAATTTTGATGGAACAATAAAGAATAATTTTAAATAAATTTAAAAAACGAATACTAATAATTGATAAATCGAATCGAAATAAAATTTAAAAAGCGAATACTAAAGCTAATTCGGAGAGGAAGAGCCAAGTTCGCCGATGATGACAGCTAATGATGTCGTTCTTCGTGTCTGACAATTCCCTGAATGGTCAGGAAGTTCAGATCACATTGAACACAAGTATATTGATGAGGTGGGCAGCTGGGTTCCTCATGGACGGGGGACATCTTCTCGAACGGGATTACTGGAGGGATTTTTTCCTCCTTGCTAAGGATGCTCATGTAGATCAAATCTAAATAACAAATTAGTTCCAATTAGTTATATTAATAAAAGTACAACAGGAATTGACGGTAAAGTTAAGAAAATTATTAGTTTTACCTTGATAAACAGTTCCAATCAGTTTTTCATCCGTGTAAGGGTTTGTAATATTCCCAATAGTACCGTCGAAATCCTTTAGACGAATTAGTTGCAATGATGCTATACAATATAATTAGTAATTATGATTTTAGCCAGTAAATAGTAGAATTAGTAATATAGGAAGATGGTTACTTACAATCGGCAGAATCCAGTGGCAAAAAGCCACAAATATCCCGGACACAGAAGGGACATCTGGGTTGATGTGTCGACGTGAACTCATCCCCACTCACTGAAGAATTCACGTGTTTAATCAAACATTGTAGGCAAAAAAGATGGCCACAGGGTTTTGTTTCATCCCCAGCATCATTGTTCGCTGCGATTGTGTACGATGCAGGCAATTCATCGCAAATTAAACAGAGCTAGGTGGATCAAATAAATGTATTTTATGTCAAACCATAACAAATTTTTCAATTACTTACCGCCTTTGAGGTAGTCGACGAGGGAGGTCCAACTGATGAAGATGATGAGTTCATTTTCGTTTTTATAATTCAATTTTATAATAAAATTTTTAAATTTCTGAGCAATTCTAATCTTAAAATCGCGAGAGCTGTTTACTGCTCGGGTGCTCGGATCCAAATGAGGATTCACAGACAGCTCGCTCCGTGAGGTGTGGCATAATATGCCGATAAGCAAGCAAGCAGCACCCATCGTTCCTTAAAAAAATTTGGGAGACTGACAATTTTGTCTGCTGATCCAGCAAGCAAACAGAACCGAAGGTTCAAAGGAAATTTTGCGGACTGACAATAATGTCTGCTGATCCAGCAAGCAATGTTGACAAATATTTCACGCGGCGAGCAGCTCACCATTTTGTGGTTGGTCCACGAGATTACCAGTTTCTCTTTGTTATGCGACGAATGCTCAACTTCACGCGCCGCATTGCATGCGTTGTATGATAATGTTATATTACAGTGCGATTTAAATATGATATTTTAAATAAATATTTTGTGTATTTATGTATGTGTATTTATATAATTTATATGATTTAAATATGATATTTTAATTATGAATAATTATTTCAGTGTTATTATGTAAAATTAAATTGGATGCTCAAGACGTATTTATGATTTTTTGGAGAGTATTAATGCCACACCTTTTTATTCGCCAGGTCAAGTAATAACAGTTACATCAAGACGTGGTCACCACTACAAAATTTAGCTCAATATACCTAAGTTGTCATATTGCTTCAGGTCATGAATATTACTATAAGAAAAGTTAATTTAAATTTATGGTGGTGCGAATTTCAAGGGTGGAATATTTAATGGACATTTAAACTACATGCAATTTTGGGAAAATATTTTACCCTTCGAGTGTTCCGTTTGACAGAATTCGCACCCGAATATGGAAAATTAGAAATGTTGTCGGTACGACGAGGAACTTAAGAAACTTAAAAACAAAATTTAAGCAAAACTCGAATAGTTTCTACTTTGTACATCTTCATAGTAGGAAACTTTAATGTACATTATGAAGAGGGCCCGCATATGCGGGCTTTATAGACTAGTACCAAATAATTGTTCCCACTTTGGTTTTAAATTGCCGCGGGAAAATCTTGTTTTGCCCCATTTAGGAATTTTTTTCGCAACAGGTCTTAGGATATAATCTAGCCACTTAATTTATCTACCAATTGCAAAACGAATCACTTGAATATCATTTGTGGTTTTTGAGAAAAGTGCATTTACAATTATAGCAATGCCACCACCGGATAATTGTTCGCATGATGTGTATGTTGTTTGGACGAAAGTATGTACGCATAACAGCGTCGGATTTAACCATCGTGTGAAATGTTTGTAGATGGACTTCGTAGATGGAGTATACACATAGTATGTAGTCTTCTGTGGAGTTGAAGCGAAGAATATCTTTCGACGAATCATGAACATAAGACCATGCCTCGTAAACTGTTAACTCCTGACTCTTCAGCTTCGGAATTAATTTTTGTACGCATTTTCAAACCAAATTTCACCGAGTTTAATAATTCGTAGAACCAGTCGTTGGTGATCATAACTGGGAAATATCAGTCCATGAAAGTATAAAAATAAGGGCAACCACGAACCTATGCCAAGAGGCCGCCTTTTCTAGGTGGATTATTTCGTACTTTGATGTGACCGCAGATTACATCTTTAACTAGCAACCCACTTTTCCCGGTAGTACACTAGCAAAGTGTTAGTAGTACACTTGGGAAATCGTGTAAGATATTCCAGGGTTGATTGAATAGGGTTTACATATTAAATGATTGATTATACATATAATTTCTGCTAATAATCCTAATCTAACGGGCTTTCTGACTGATGAGTTAGCTAAAAAAAGTACACAAAAATTATATTTCGGATAAGTTAAGAAAATTATATTGCATCGAAGAAGACTTCATTTCCGACGTACAATTCAATTTAAGTAAACAATTGTTCTACGTTTAATTTACGCAATCTGCATTTTAACGAAAACGGTATTTTCGAACGAAAATCCTGGTTTTTAATGTTCTTTACTTTATAAGCGTATGTACGTATATTTGTGGATAATTTCTGGGCGAAGTTTTTAACGACGAATGATGTTTATACTATAAACTGCAATTTCCTTGTATGCTTATTTATACATATGTATTTATACTAGTGATGCAACGAGTCCTTCATTTCGAGTTCGAGCCGAGTTCGAGTACTCTGCAAAGCTTGGTGCCGAGTGCTCGAACTCGAACGAGTTCGAGCACTCGGTGAAACTCTGCAACCGAGTACTCGAAAAGCCGAGTGCACTCGGCTTGTCGAGTGCTGGAAGCACAAAGCACTCGAGTGCTTTCCTATTTTCACTCTAAAATAAGGCAATAGAAAAGTTCAATTTGACTCATTAACACATACATAACCAAAACCAAGCTGTTGCTCCAAAAATTTGTACTAAAAAGCACAAAATAACAAAATAATTAATTTTGCTGACTCAGCAGAGGTCTAAATTTGAAATTTCTACATTTGGTAGAATTGCAGTTTAGTGAACCAACTCGGATTTAGCTGAATTTTGTTGTGAATACCCTACGGTCGCCTCAGCAAGAAAAAACTTGTTTTTCGCGGCGGTCTTGATAAATAAAATTTCTAGAAATTTAGGAAATTTTGCATAAATATTTTTTTGTCTCAGATTTCAATGAACATGACTTTTTAGACTAATTAAACTATGCTAAACAATAATCCGGAGGATTTTTTATTAAAAAAAACTGTGCATGAAATAATTATTATTCAAATTTTCTGAAATTTCTGGAAATTATATTTTTCGAAACCGCCACAAAAAAAGTTTTTTCTTGCTCAAGGGACTATAAGTTACTCACAAAAACAAATTTCAGCTAAATCTGAGTTAGTTCACTAAACTGGCAAGTGTTACTTAAATTGTCTTGCCGTAAAAGTGAGAATAATAAAACTCGGCCGAGTGCAAAAAAACTCTGCCGAGTTCGAGCTCACCGAAAAATACGCAGAGTGCGCCGAGTACCGAGTGGAAACGAGTACTCGTTGCAACACTAATTTATACCATCTAATTCCTGTT